GCAGACTTCAGAAGCTTGCAAACTTCAGAAGGCCGGGAAAGTGGGCGTCTCCGGCTTTTAACTTGCTGTCCTGGTGGTTATTGGTGGATTAGATGTGGGCGTTTTGCTGGTGTAATGAGTAGAGGATGAGCAGGCTTGTAGATCTGGCAGCAGTGGCCGGGTCTACCACAGTGAACTTTCGCGAAGAGCTTCATATGTACAGATGCTAACATACTTCCATAGACACAGTACTTCACTTGCTTCTTATTCTGTCAAAGGTAGAGATTTTATACTTTTTTATTTAGCTAAAGTTAGAGTTTTTGTCCTCATTATGCTAAAGATACAGATGTTATACTTACTTCTTTGAGTTGGAGATTTTTATTTTATTTAGTATAGAGTAATTGTTCATTTCTCTTGTGTGCCCCTCATTCCAACTGTTCTGTAACTTGTGAATGCAACACTGAGATTTCCCCGCTGTGGGACGAATAAAGGATCTCTGAATCTTAATCATAAAAAAAATATTTTTTTTGGAAATGTACAGTTAAAAATATATTTTCATACAGTACAGACCAAAAGTTTGGACACACCTTCTCATTCAAAGAGTATTTTATTTTCATGATTATGAAAATTGTAGATTCACTCTGAAGACATCAAAACTATGAATTCACTCATGTGGAATTATGTAAAAAAAAAATAAAAAAAATTATGAAACAACTGAAAATATGTGTTATATTCTGGTTCTTCAAAGTAGCACCTTTTGCTCTGATTACTGCTTCACTCTTGGCTTTCTCTTGATGAGCTTCAAGAGGACCTGAAATGGTCTGAGTTCCCACAGATCCCCTTCATGGCCCTTTCACCTTCCCTCTGTGGTCCAGCTCACCCCAAAACCATCTGGATTGGGTTCAGGTCCAGTGACTGGAGGCCGGGTCATCTGGCCCAGCACCCCACCACTCTCCTTATTGGACAAATAGCTCTTACACAGCCTAGGTCTGAATCTACAGTCAATAATCATGAAAAGAAAGGACACTCATTGAATGAGAAAGTGTGTCCAAACTTTTGGTCTGCACTGTATATGAATAAGCAATAGATTGTATATTATATGTGTGTTAAACCAGTGAAACTATATTATTTGTCGCTAAGTCTGTGGTTGCTCGGCAACGACACTGGGGAAGGCAGCTCTGCAAACATCAGTGTGTGGATGTGTGAACCCTGCTGACACGGGCGCAAAATGTGTTTGTTTTTGTAAATAAAATAAGCCTGTAGAGCTGTGGCAGGTGCTTGACCTCACTTTCTCTGTGCGATGTTGTGCAATGGACACATCCGTCTTCAGATTAACCAATAGCATGGGCCTGTTTAGACTCAAAATATTGTTTTTGTTTATGGCAAGTTATTGTTATGGGTTTGCAGTAAAGTCAGAAAAAACATTTGACACCACACATGAGGTGCTGACAAAACAAGGTTTATACTCCGTCATTTTTGTTTTGTTTTAGCTGTAGAAATGCATGAACAAAATGAAAGTGTGCAAACCATCTGGAGCCGCAGACGTGGGCAGTACTGGGGGAGTTGGAGCATGCTGTCTTTGAAGATGAAAATGACAAGTTGAATTAGAGAGCCTTGTTTTGGCTACTTGTGTCAAGCATAAAATCGAGGGTAGTAAAACAGAATTGCCTAAAATGCAGTGTTTATCTAAACAATTTTGGACCGGTTTAAAACAAAGAAGGATTTAGTTGTATTAAAATGTACTCTATTCCAGTCCAAAATGCTATGATAATGTTGGCATAACTGTTTAAATCAACATTAGCTTCTTGTTTCTTTTGATGCTGGAGTTTATTTATTTTATTTTATTTAGGATAGTTATTGTTCATTAATCTTATGCTGTGTGCTTCTCATTCCTACTAACTGCTAATGCAACACTGCCATTCCCCACAGTGGGACAAATAGAGGATCTCTTCATCTTAAATTAAAATAAACAAATAACAAATAATAAAATAAATTGCGGTATTAATTGCCTGATATTCTGTCATTTCCAGGTAAAGCTAACCTACTCATCAACTCTCTCAAAAGAAAATCTGATCTTTGGACAGTGAATTCACATTTTATAGTATTATTTTCTCGTATTTTCTCGTTTCAACTGTTTAATAGTGTAGTTTACGCGTGCGCCTTGAACGCATCTCGGTGTTCGGTCTCTGCTCGGCTCCACGCAGCAGCAGAAGTCTGTCATGGAAGGCTCGGTACCGTGAACCACCGTGGATCGTGTAACCAGGCAAACTCCAGCAGCCATGGGGATTATATTTTCGTTTCTGGACCGATTTAAAAGCCGTGCAAAGAGGATGTAGTCTGCATTTGGCGCCTTGAGACCACAAAGGCTGGAGGAGGATGATTGCGGGGTACACCGCCAAAGCCGCGGGTTTTCAGTCTCCCCGAGCCTCACATTTGTGAATCCCGTCTGCCAACAAGAAAGTAGAGGAAAAAAACGTCAGTATGTCGGATCCAAGCCACTGGTCTGTGGTTCCAGGCCAGAGCAAAGCTAGTTTTGTTCCTGGAGCGTTGCTAAAGAGATCGAAAAGGTAACGAGATGTTGTTTTCAAGTTGGGTCTCGTTACAACTCTAGCACTTTTTTATGGTTCATATCTCTGTTAATTATCCGGATTACTTTTATGTCATCTCACAAAAAATGCATATGACAGGTTGGACTGCACACGTCCTCTTCCCGAACAGTTTTGCCTAATTTGCTTTCATTTTCACAATTTTTAAGTTTATAATTTGACTTCCTGGTCAGGCAAGCTACGTAGTGACGTAGGCAGACGTAACAAAGGGACGAGAGTTGTCTCATTTATGTTATTTGACCACTCAAAATAATCCTTTATTGTGTGAATTGTTGTTGAATTTAATGTGCAGTATTGCATAAATATTAATATACAATTGTAACATTTTCTACTTTTAGATATTTATATTGAGTGAATATTAAGTTATTAATGGTTTATACGAGGATTTCCCCAAATTTTAGGAAAGAACTGCCCTCTCCACTTTTCTGGTCTTATTTGACGAGCATGTATCACCAGAATGATTGACCATTGGGAGGACCAATAGTCTTGATGATCCACCCGGAAGTAGAAAAACCTTCTAATATACCTTTGAGAAACGTTGACAATCTATATGCTCTAGCCTTTATCTTTACAGCTTTTTGGCGTCACAGTAATGTCATGTTTGTTTATTGAATTGATGAGCTTAAAACAAATATAGTGGCACAAATCTTTGCCACTATTGTCTGAAGAAAATGCCTGGGAAACACAATATGTTGTGGTGTACTGAAATAAGGGACTTACTACCATCACAACTACCATCTTACTAAACATAACCCAATTTCAGCCTTTTATAGATTCAGATTGTTTCTTTAGAGTCCCACAGTGCAGCCATTGACCGGCCATCCTTTCTAAACATATATTACTAAAACACACTCTTTAATATATGCAATTACTAATAATGGGTGGATAAACCGAGGGATACAATTAATATGGTCGTAGAGAATAAAACTCAATGTGTTTTTCATGGATCAATGTGATTTCTTTACATTGCCTTGAACTTGTTGTAAACTCATGACGTAATTCTGCTTTTCAGTGATTTCTTTCACTGTGAGTCACTGTGAGATGTTGGTAAACATTCATGTCCACGTGTTAGAGGCTAGAGCTGCAAAAAACTCAAATCTAATGCCTCCAATGTTGGTTCATGTTTAATTAATGTAATCCTGAACACACAGCGCCGCAAATGGCGAAGTGGCATGCTCTCTGCCAAAACAATTTCCAAGTGGTAACTTTGTTACTTACGTGGCAATAAAAATGATTCTGATTCTGATTCTGAACATATTTGCAAATGTAAACTAACTGTGTGTTTTTGGTCTGCACATGTTTGCAACTTCACACGGCGGGAATTAAAACCATTTATTTCTCCCCTCATTTATTTATTTGATAAGGACAACACACATTCTTGATAGGGTGCTTGCGCAAGTCTTGAAAGTCTTAAATATGGAATTTTGATAACACTGTTTTCCAGACCTTGAAAAGTCTTGAATTTTGTGTGAAAGTCTTAATAAAGTATAGAAAAAATGTAATGATAGAATTTTACAGTATGCTCAAAGGCCTGAAATGAGAATTGGGAAGGTCGGCTATAAAGCTATAATTTTACTAACTGGTTACGTACTGTATTTGCCTGAATGAATGATATCCAATCAGCGCTTGCTTAGCCTTGTCCGGCACATGTTCGTGATGTCACTGCTGAGGTCTATTGACACATAACTAGCCTACATCCGTGGTCCCGATGCAGGTCACACAATAATAAGAAAACAAAACACAATACACAACTACACAAGTTACAGTTAGTTAAAAATGAGTATAGGACTGATTTACTTTAATAAGGTGAGCTTTATGATGGGAATTCTCTTATGTCTGTAACCTCCTCGAACTGACTGCAGTTTGTCCAAGTTAGGGCTGCACGGTATTGGAAATTAGAGCAATATTCAATATGGGTTTTTAGTATTGTCATAACGATATTATTGCGATATTTTTGTCTTTCACCTAAAATTGGATCTGCATTGAAACGCATGAGACAAATAAAAAAAGAAATAAGCACAACATTAATGACATTAAAATGCATATATTTATAGACTTTGTTTGTTTGTTGTTCTTGTTCAATGCGTCTGTCTGTTTTGTTGTCTTAAATGAAGGAAATAAAAAATAAAAAGTATACCGCACATCTTTTTTATATAGATATCGCACGTACCGATATCACAATAACATTTTTTTTTTTCGATATATCGTGCAGCCCTAGTCCAAATGTTGTTTTTCTGAGCGGGATCTCCACATCTCCTCTAGAGAATGTTGTGCAGTATTGTAATAAGTAATGGTGAATGGAGGATTTTCTGGAAAGTTTTATGTTAATTAATCTTTGAGGTACATTGAGCTCATAATAACCTCGTAATAACCAAACTCAAACACTTATTTTTTCTCTTTTTTTCTCTTGTGCAGTTGTCGCAGCAGCAACAGGAAGAGTCTAGGTGTTGGGTCGCCCTCTCCCACCCTCTCTCGGCCTCTGTCTCCTCTCTCACTTCACACTGGTAAGAGAACTGTCCGTGAAAACTAAAACTAATGATACTGGTACAACTGTAACTGTTCACCTTACCATGATCTTCACACTGGCATCTGGATAGCAGCTTCAGTGACAGACTGATTCACCCTCGCTGTGTGAAGGAGAGGTTCCGCAGATCTCTCCTTCCTGCTGCTGTCAGACTGTACAATGAGAACTGAGACTATTACCCTACACTATATGTACTGTATATCACTTTGCACTATATAGATATTTTGAAATATTGATATTGACGTATTTACAGCTAGCATATAGCAGCTACTTATTTTCTATTTTTGCGCTACAGCATTGAAATTTCCCCACAGTGGGACAAATACAGGATGTCTTATTTCATATCTCACAATCACATGGTATTCTAGAAATTGGCCAGAAGATAACTGTTGTTTTGTCTTTTCTCCTTCTGCCACAGACATGCAATATTTATTAATAATGATTATAATAATACATTTTATTCATATTGCACCTTACATTTCCAGGGTTAGGGTCAGAAGTACATAATATGTCAAAAAGAAACATGGAGTTCAAGCTAATAATATCCCTAATAGGCCTGAATTAAAAGAAAGGAATATCTCTGTACCTATGTAATGACTGAAGTAAGTAGGGTTCGAATCCTGGTTGGAACGGGTTCTTTCTGAGAGGAGTTTGCATGTTCTCCACGTGCTTGCGTAGGTTTCCTCCGGGTGCTCCGGTTTCCCCTACCACTAAAAACATGCACACTAGGTAAAGTCCTGACCGAGCAGCATCAACATCTGGAGTTGGGTTCCGGGCGCTGTTACTACGGCGACCACTGCTCCTGACGTAAGCCTTAGCGGCATCAGGATAGGTCAAATGCAGAGGATCAATTAAAAAATTATGACTCTTGTTGTTTTTATTACTCTTTTTTGATATATTGTGTAAATGTACCTAAGTTGCTTGTGAAGGATAGAAGGCAGACTATTTCATTACGGATGTGGTTGATGCATGACTCTCTCAAAGTATGTCATATCTAATGAACTCCTCCCCACTTCTTGATCACAATCTTGGCTTTATAGCTGACAATAGTAGGTTTGTTTTGTCCCACGCACTATCGCAGGCTTAACAACGGTATAATAAACTCGGCCTAAATGTGATGAGGCCTAATCCCTCTGTTATAGTCCATAATCTCCACCCAGTTGCGTAACAGCCGCACGTGTGTGATGTCAGTCTGTAGACGGCCCATATTTGTTTTTCAAATGAGGTGGAGGAAATATTAAGCATGAATTTGCCCGAGATCATTATAATGGCAGCTATAACAATCATTGTATTTGTTTATTTATGTCCCCTCCCGTCCCAGCCATTCAGGCACATACCACAATATGACAATCAAACCTTACAATACCCTCCAACAAAACACTCAATCAGAAGAATCCAAATCAATATATTGCCATTTGCAGATACAAACAAATTGGATACACTGAGGACACACACACACTACAAAAAACACAGACACTATAAAACTCTTAAAAACTCAAGACACACAAATGGCAATAGACACACACACGCACGCACACACACACGGCAATAGACAGACAAGACCAAGACACCAACTCTCTCATTCACACAGACACAAAAAAACTCACCTGTTCTTTCAGACCATGAATCCTCTCTGCTCTGGTCTGGACCAGTGTAAATGTCTGGATTTTATGTCTGACGAAGGGCCTCAGCCCGAAACGTAACAGTTTTTGGTGTGTAAATAAAATACACTTAGCTACACAGCTGTGTGGATTTTTTTCACTGTTTTTACGTCTTACATTCTTTTAATCCAGCACGCTAGCTCATACTACAGGGATGTGCGGCCTTATTTGAAACTTTCCTGGACCAGTGTAAAACCATGAATCCTCTCTGCTCTGGTCTGGACCAGTGTAAAACCATGAATCCTCTCTGCTCTGGACTGGACAGTGTAAAACCATGAACACTGTACTGCAGCAACATCTCTCATAAAACACAAAACAACAACAGTTTCAGACACCTTTGGAAGTTTCTGCCGTTTCCAGCGCATTAAAAATAAATTTTTGACATTTTTTTGTTTGTTTTGGTTGTTGTTGTTGGAATAATAACTTTTGTTCCTCTTTCCGCAGCAAGCAGCCCTCTGGACAGCCCCCGAAATGTGTCAACCAATGCTTGCCTCAACTTTCCATTTGCTCGAAGGTTCGTATCATTTCTGACTCCTGGTTTTCATCTGCAAACTGTTTTTAAAGTTTTATTAATAGTGCTCGGCCTCACTTTTCTGGTGCACGTCTGTAAAGATACAGATACCCATAAACTCCTCTAAGTGTTTGGAAAATGCCTAATTTTCAAGAGCAATAAAAGAAAAGTCTGTAAATATAGAAAAGCCTGATGGGTTGGTTTAGCGTTGGGCTCTGGACCAATCAGAACAGAGCAGTAACATCTCCCTGGGGACAAGTAGAAATGCACCTGGTGTGTTTAACTACATAGAGGTGCAAGAAAAACCAGAAACAACATAAATCATGTGTCAAACTTGTCCTGAACATGTTTGGAAAATCTGGCCGTGACTTTTTGACTAATGCTTAGTTTAGTTTCGTTTATTTCAAGCACACAATGAAAAATCATGTTACGTTCTACAACAATAACAAACCAAAAACAGTGGTTGTAGGAGCTCTGTCAGTAGAACAAAGAATATTAATTATTACTTGAAAAGGAGTGGGGTGAAGATGAACTCATTGATTCCCCTTTTTCATCGTCTAAACATTATTCGTTTCTTCCTTTGGTTTTTACACTTTCTTGCTAGTATTAGTTCTTGCTAGTATCTTACATTACTTATTTTATCCTACATTACATATTTACAACATGTTTGCATCATGAACAAACAAAAAGTAATTTTCCTTCATTTTTATAACAGTCAAAAAAGATTGTGTTTGAATCCTTTCTTAAAATGTTTTATATTTGGACATTGCTGGAGCTGCTCATTTAAGCTAATGTTGAGAACAGACAAAATCTGGTGAAAACATAACCTTTTGCAGAGGTATTGATTGTATTAACATAACAGTAATATTTTCACCTTGGGCTTAAAAGGATGAAAATGCAATAAACATAGTGTTGTTTTTAAAAGTGAGTTACACATTTTGAGTACGTGGACTCAGGGCGAGCGATGTATCGATATTTACGATGTATCAAGATATTCTTTCAATTCAATATGAATTTAGACATATGGCTGAAATGGAACAGGTTAATTATTATGATTACTTATTATTAATGTAATTATAGATTTGTTTTTCATCTAAAATGTTACAGAAGCACTTTGTTTCTATTTGCACATTGAGTTCAGTTGTTTTATTTTTTAATGAAGAGAAGATAAGAGAATATGTATATTGTTGTCATTTATTTTACAGTTGTTCACAGGAAATGTGACAGAAGCACTTTGTTCCTACTTCAACTGACTCCTCTTTGATATGAAATTAAAAAAAGACTTTGGAAATTGGCACTTTTGTATTTGCTGTAGTTTTTGAGGGTTATTTATCCTGTACAAATATCAAGATACAGTATATATTGTATAATGAGATATAAAAATACATTGAGATATTTTTTATTATTTTTATTGCCCGACCCTAATTTGTACAATACATTTATAATCTCACAAAAATAGAGGTCATTGCGATTGACATATTATAATATATATATTTATCTGCAGGTATTTCCATTAGTCAGTTGCCAGCCTTTAAAGCAGCAGTGTGGTATCTTCTCTCTGAGGCCAGATTGAAATGTAGAAGCACGGGTCGATGTTTGGGGCTGACTCACGCAGCAGCAGGTGCATGTAGGGTAACCCTGGAAGCCCGCTCTCACATCCCTGTTCCCATGGCAACACGCTCCTCTCGTTCCAGGCTTGTGTGCCCGTAAGAGCAGCAGCAGCAGCTCAGAGACCAAAAGCAATGTGTAGGGATTCTCTGTATCACGTTTACAGGGCCCATAGGACGCAGTAATGTCTGTTTCAAAATGCAGCTACGCAGTTTTTCATATGATTATTAATATCCTCTTTATGTGTGTTTCCAAAATACGCTACATGCTTCTCGAATGTAATCAGATCTGCGGTGTCTGCAGCCGTTCACTCTTCTTCTTCTTCTGTCTTTTTTTTCTTAAAAAAGGCATTAACTTAGGTGATGCGGCTGTGTGTTTATATAATATACTTCAGACAATAACATGGCCGCCTTTAAACCGATGTAGGGACTGTTACTGAAGCTGAGGACACCCTTTTTACTCAGTTTGACCATTTTGCTCATTCATCACGAGCTGAAGACTGGACAAAATGATAATACTGCAAGGACACGTGACTATTTTTGTTGTTAAACCAGAGCAGAAGCAGAAAAGCTGAAAAACATAATCCATGATGCACTCTTGTTGCACTGCTGTCCTCTTCTCTTCTCCCTTTTTACGTCTTCCACAAACGGTTTTCCTCATTTTGGTTTTGTTTTGCCACATTTTTTATTATAGCTCAGTTTAGAGTGGCCCCTACACAACATTCTAACACATTTATTGTTCCTATATTCACACTCATTTACACAGTTTGTCTGATTTAAATTGCATATACTCATGCAAAGCAATAAATCTGCATTAGATTCATTCGTTCACAGTAATGTACTTCTCTCTGGGCTTTTTAGCAGAACCCTAAATGCTTCTGTGCTTTCTCTCTTTCTTGCTTTCATTACAGTCACCTGGCCCGTGCTGACAGGTACATTCTTTAATCATTTCATTGTGCGCCATGACTTATGTGAGTTAGAAATAAATCATTTCAAATCTTTTATTATTTAATCTATGTTATTATTTGTTTCTTAAACACATTGTTCTTGTTTTTTTTTTTAGCTTAGAAGCAACGGTAATTCATGTAATGCTGTTTTGTTCTTGTTTGTTTGTTATGTAAGGGTGCTGCACTATAAAATGCTAACTCATGCCTCTCCGCAGATCCTTATGTAATATGCATGTCTCTTTTACTTAGAGCTGAGGGCCGAAGATGGTCCCTGGCCTCCCTCCCCTCGTCTGGCTATGGCACCAATCCCCCCAGCTCCACTGTCTCGGTGAGTCCCGCTTCGCAGCTCCATGGCTCTTCTGACACCTCCGTCACCCAAATACCACACTTATGCAGTAAGGCAAAGCCCAATGCCAGGACTGGGATGACAAAGTGTTAATTGTTTCCCTCCATCATCTGCTTGAGTGAGTCACTCTGCTCATCTGTGGTGCTAACAGTCTGTGTGTGGCTCTGGCTACAGAATCCATACTCTAGTTATTACATTTCTTCACAGTTTAGTGTTACTATGCTCAAATGAACAGTTTGTGACTAAATACTGCACTGAAAGTTTGTCATAGGCAGCCATTATAAGAAGTTTTTCAGGTTTCAACTCTAGCTCTCAGGAAAGTTAGTGGCTGTCATGGCTTCATGTTTGTCCAGGTTTGAGAGAAACGCGTGCTCTCTTCTGCCCCACGGTGTTGGCCGCAGATTCAACAGTTTGTCTGCAGGGATCTAGCCTGGCCTTAGCCATCCATACAATCCGCTCAATCATTATTTCACTGCAATTACAATTGGTTGAATTTCGACCGACCAACCAGTGAGCGCGGGAGGCAGGTGTTGTAGTTAGTTGTGGGTGATGTTAAGAGTTTGCGCCGAACGCCCGGTTGTGGTTTGGCAATGGCAAAGAATGTGATAGTAAAGTATTCCGGTCTGGTTCTATCAAAAAATTGAAGCCGGAGCAAGGGTAATGTTTTGCAAATGTAATTGCTGCAAAGATTGTGGCGCTACTCCCCACAGACTCCGTTAGTGACAAAGGAGAACTCACTCGGGCGCATTACATACGTGACAGTAAACTCAGATCCAATCGTTTCAATCTGCAAAAGGAGTTAACCCCTCCTATCTGTAAACGCAGCTCAGTGGAGCACCTCCAGACCTTAGTACGAAATGTCATTTGTACTATGGTGTGGTACAACCAGGCTAGCAGGAATCTAGCAACTCAGACGTGTAGAAACTGTGTTTGCTTTTTTAAAATGTGTAACGACCTGCCCATAAGTGTTGTATAATGTTCTGTCATGCTGTCTGTCATTACATAATACACTGTACGCGATCGCTCTGAGCATGAGCTCTGCCTTCCAGGTTTAAACATGTTCTTTACTGACACTGTCCCAATAGCACTCTCCAGATACACCAGACACTCATTCATTTAGATTATATAATATGTATATACAGTGCCTTGCGAAAGTAATTGAACCTTTCAACATCTCGCCACATTTCAGGCTTCAAACATAAAGATATACAATTTTAATTTTTTTGTCATGAATCAAAACAAGTGGGACAAAATGTATTGGATAATTTAAACTTTTTTAACAAATAAAAAACTGAAAAGTGGGGCGTGCAATATTATTCGGCCCCTTTACTTTCAGTGCAGCAAACTCACTCCAGAAGTTCAGTGAGGATCTTTGAATGATCCAATGTTGTCCTAAATGACTGATGATGATAAAAAGTCTCCGTATAAATGCACCTGCTCTTTGATAGTCTCAGGGTTCTGTTTAAAGCGCAGAGAGAACTATGAAGACAAAGGAACACACCAGGCAGGTCCGAGATACTGTTGTGGAGAAGTTTAAAGCCGGATTTGGATACAAAAAGATTTCCCAAGCTTTAAACATCTCAAGGAGCACTGTGCAAGCAATTATATTGAAATGGAAGGAGTATCAGACCACTGCAAATCTACCAAGACCAGGCCGTCCCTCCAAACTTTCATCTCAAACAAGGAGAAGACTGATCAGAGATGCAGCCAAGAGGCCCATGATCACTCTGGATGAACTGCAGATAACTACAGCTGAGGTGGGAGAGTCTGTCCATAGGACAACAATCAGTCGTGCACTGCACAAATCTGGCCTTTATGGAAGAGTGGCAAGAAGAAAGCCATTTCTCAAAGATATCCATAAAAAGTCTTGTTTAAAGTTTGCCACAAGCCACCTGGGAGGCACACCAAACATATGGAAGAAGGTGCTCTGGTCAGATGAAACCAAAAACGAACTTTTTGGCCACAATGCAAAACGATATGTTTGGCGTAAAAGCAACACAGCTCATCACCCTGAACACACCATCCCCACTGTCAAACATGGTGGTGGCAGCATCATGGTTTGGGCCTGCTTTTCTTCAGCAGGGACAGGAAAGATGGCTAAAATTGATGGGAAGATGGATGGAGCCAAATACAGGACCATTCTGGAAGAAAACCTGTTGGAGTTTGCAAAAGACTTGAGACTGGGAGGGAGATTTATCTTCCAACAGGACAATGATCCAAAACATAAAGCCAAATCTACAATGGAATGGTTCACAAACAAGTCCAGACCTGAATCCAATCGAGAATCTGTGGAAAGAGCTGAAGACTGCTGTTCACAAACGCTCTCCATCCAACCTCACTGAGCTCGAGCTGTTTTGCAAGGAAGAATGGGCAAGAATTCCAGTCTCTCGATGTGCAAAACTGATAGAGACATACCCCAAGCGACTTGCAGCTGTAATTGCAGCAAAAGGTGGCGCTACAAAGTATTAGCGCAAGGGGGCCGAATAATATTGCACGCCCCACTTCTCAGTTTTTTATTTGTTAAAAAAGTTTAAATTATTCAATACATTTTGTTCCACTTCACGATTGTGTCCCACTTGTTGTTGATTCTTGACAAAAAATTTCATTTTTATATCTTTATGTTTGAAGCCTGAAATGTGGCGAAATTTTGAAAGGTTCAAGGGGGCTGAATACTTTCGCAAGGCACTGTATGTGTGTATATATCTATATAGATATAGATATATATATATATATATATATATATATATAATATATATAATATATATATATATATATAATCTATCTCTATATATCTATATATATATCTATACACTACCGTTCAAAAGTTTGGGGTCACCCAAGTGTTTTCCATGAAAAGTCACACTTATTCACCACCATAGGTTGTGAAATGAATAGAAAATAGAGTCAAGACATTGACAAGGTTAGAAATAATGATTTGTATTTGAAATAAGATTTGTTTTACATCCAATTTTGTTTTCGTCAAAGAATCCTCCATTTGCAGCAATTACAACATTGAACCAAAAACCAGACATTTGCAGCTAGAATAGTCATTTACCACATAAGCAATGTATAGAGTGTATTTCTTTACAGTTAAGACTAGTTTAAAGTTATGTACAGTGCTTTTCCTTAAAAAATAAGGACATTTCAATGTGACCCCAAACTTTTGAACGGTAGTGTATGCCACCGTGCCACCATGGGCGGCACGGTGGCTGAGTGGATAGCACTCTCGCCTCTCAGCAAGAAGGTCCTGGGTTCGAATCCCGGCCGGACCAGGGCCTTTCTGAGTGGAGTTTGCATGTTCTCCCCGTGTCTGCGTAGGTTTCCTCCGGGTACTCCGGTTTCCCCTACCACTAAAAATATGTCCAATAGTTCTGGCATGCGCCTCCTGTACTGGCGACCCCGCTCCCATCTCTGTGTGGAGTGAGAGACAAATGCCCAATATTAACAATTGTAAACCGCTTTGAGACTCAGATCTGCAGTGAAAAGGCGGTGTATAAATACAAACTTACTTACTTACTTACTAGTGTATATAATACATTTTAAGTATAGGTATATAATAAATGTTGCTTTTGTATATCTATCTATTATAATATACTTTGTGCTGCCTGACTCTGCTTATGTTTATAATGGTGTAGTTATTACCAAGTGTTTGTACTAAAGCATTAGTAACCCTTAACATTGGAGCTAGCCCCTGGAAACATAGATTGACCCCATGGTGTCTGAACCGGCCTCGGGCACAGTTTCCCGTCAAATCATCAATGAAACTTCCTTGAGAAAGATATTTGCAGGTTTACTCTTCACTTCACTTCAAACACGTTCACTGTTTCTCCACTTTACTCTTCTGGAGTTAAACATTAGTATTTAGACAAGAACAGGAGCAGCTCGTGTTTAATCATCCACAGAGTGTGTGAGGCAGTGGGACACGTGTCTGTGCACTTAGACCTGGGTCAGGCCCAGTGTCTGTGCAACTAGACCCGGGTCAGGCCCAGTGTCTGTGCACTTAGACCCGGGTCAGGCCCAGTGTCTGTGCACTTAGACCCGGGTCAGGCCCAGTGTCTGTGCACTTAGACCCGGGTCAGGCCCAGTGTCTGTGCACCTAGACTTGGGTCAGGCCCAGTGTCTGTGCACCTAGACCCGGGTCAGGCCCAGTGTCTGTGCACCTAGACCCGGGTCAGGCCCAGTGTCTGTGCACCTAGACCCGGGTCAGGCCCAGTGTCTGTGCACCTAGACCCGGGTCAGGCCCAGTGTCTGTGCACTTAGACCCGGGTCAGGCCCAGTGTCTGTGCACCTAGACCCGGGTCAGGCCCAGTGTCTGTGCACCTAGACCCGGGTCAGGCCCAGTGTCTGTGCACCTAGACCCGGGTCAGGCCCAGTGTCTGTACACCTAGACCCGGGTCAGAAAAAAAAACTTACTTTTAAAGGCAGTTTTGCAAATATTAACCTAAAATCTTGACTGAAGTTGCAGATTCCACACACACAGAATTAACAAAGAGTCTGCACTTTGCTATAGATTGTAATGGCTGCAGTTTCTTTCTGTCACTTTCTGTCACTTCGAAGTTTTCACAAGTTTTCTCATAAGGAGCTGCAGAAGTTTTAGATTGTAAATACACAGCAGAAAGTACCCTGTGGCTGTGCTGGAGGCGGATCTGGAGATTTGTCTGTTTCCCTTTGACGTAGCGAAATTTTTTTGGGATGACTTGCAAATAAGTGTCTTTTGGGAACTAGTTTTTCTGCATTTGTCTCCATCATTCGCTTGATTTGTTTCTTGCTCCGCTCTAGCGTGTGGCGGTACCAGGTCGCAGAAGATGCATCACAGTGCACGTTCAAGAAATGCAAACAAAAATTAATTAATTGTGCATATTTTATATACGGATATATTGCACCAATATCGTGAGGCCAATATTTTTTCGATATATCGTGCAGCTGTACATCTGATACAGATATCTCTATAGACGATATGATTATTATTATTACTGCTCATTTCAAACACATGTGTCCTTTGTGTCCAGTCGTCCTCGTCCTCTCAGGAGCGCCTGCACCAGCTTCCTTATCAGCCGACACAAGATGAGCTCCACTTCTTGTTCAAACACTTTCGCAGCACAGACTCTATGCCCGATGAAGATGGCCGCCCAGCTACAGTCATTCGGCCACGCTCTCGCAGCCTCAGGTGAGTTTTGGCTCAATCCATCCATCCATCCATCCATTTTCTTCCGCTTCATCCGTTGCCGGGTCGTGGGGGCAGCAGTCTAAGCAGAGAGGCCCAGACTTCCCTCTCACACACTTCCTCCAGCTCGTCCGGGGGAAACCCAAAGCGTTCCCAGGAGAGAGAGACATATTCCCTCCAGCGTGTCCTGGGTATGCCTCGGGGTCTCCTCCCGGTGGGACGTGCCCGGAACACCTCCCCAGGAGGCGTCCAGGAGGCATTCAGAACAGATGCCCGAGCCACCTCAACTGGTTCCTCTCGATGTGGAGAAGCAGCGGCTCTACTCCGAGCTTTTCCCGTGTGACTGAGCTCCTCACCCTGTCTCTAAGGGAGCGCCCAGCCACTCTGCGGAGGAAGCTCATTTCGACCGCTTGTATCCGCGATCTCGTTCTTTCGGTCATTACCCAAAGCCTATGACCAGAGGTAAGATTGATCGGTAAATCGAGAACTTTGCCTTTCGGCTCAGCTCTCTCTTAACCACAATAGTCTGACAGAGCTCTGACTGCAGATGCTGCTCCCTCTTTACCACGACGGTTCGATACAGCGAGCGTATCACTGCGCACGCTGCACCGATCCGCCTGTCAATCTCACGCTCCATCCTTCCCTCACTTGTGAACAAGACCCCGAGATACTTGAACTCCTCCACTTGAGAAAGGACTGCTCCACCCACCTGGAGAGGGCAAGGCACCTTTTTCCGGTCGAGCACCATGGCCTCAGATTTGGAGGTGCTGATTCTCATCCCAGCCGCTTCACACTCGGCTGCAAACCGTCCCAGTACATGTTGTTTGGCTCATTTTTTTTTAAATAAATATATTGCAAACTGCAGAGGATCAGTGAGGGGCTGGTGCAATGTGACTTTGGTGGCATCTCTGACTGCCACCCCCTCAACCCAGAAATGGATTAAGGGGTAGAAAATGGATGGATGGATGGATATTGCAAACAAACCAGGCACAAACAAGATTGTAAGTTAGTAAGTAAGTAGACAGACCAGAGTCACAAAGCCCTTTACAACTGTTGTGGGCCTTTGTCTCTCACTCCACAGAGATGGGAGCGAGGTCACCAGACGGGAAGTGCATGCCAGAGCTATTTACATGTTTTTAGTGGTGGGGAAACTGGAGCACCCTGAGGAAACCTACGCAGATACGGGGAGAACATGCAAACTCCACAAAAAAGCTCCCTTTCTGACCTGGATTAGAACCCAGGACCTTCTCGCCACTCCACCGTGTCTTTTTCAAACTGTTAACTTAATCTATTGAAACGCAGTGGCACACGGTGTCTGGCGAACAGGTGGAGATGGGTTCAGTGTCCTTTTAACAACTTGGCTGCCTTCATAGTGTTTGTGCGAGTCCTAGCGTGGCGTGTTCTGGCCCCGTGGGGTGCTGTATTCTGTCCCCATGGCGTGCTGTGCATGGGTGTGCCAACAAACAGCCGTGGGGATGGAGCTGCTAAACTGTAGGCAAGGTTGGGGGTGGATCAGGAAAACCTTGGAGTGGGTCTGATGAAGATGAAGAGCGTGTTGGATACTGGCCATGTGACAGAGACATCTTTCAGGATAAAAACGGCTCCTGCTGCGCTTCCATGTGATAGGTTTCTAGGATTCTTTTCTATCTCTGCTGCTTGAAGTGTTTATATTTTGCATGTACATTTTTGCTGATCTGTCTCATTGGCCTCAGTATAGAGTTGATGCAGGCGATGACTAAGCTCTGCTTGTGATTAAAATTCTCTGAACTTTTGAGTCAACTACAATACATATGGCATTAGAGAGCAGATCTAAATATTCCAAATCTCATTCATCTCATACAGTCAAACTGAGAATATCAATAATAATAATAATGCATCAAAGGTAAAGTGTGTATTATTGGACACACGGTTTCCATAATGTTTATTTTTTTGATACAAACTTTTTTTTGTTATAGCTGCTTCTGTCCTAGATCTCTGTGGGTGTGTCTTGTATATTCTTAATAATGATTAAAAAAAAAAATTATATATATATATATATATATATATATTCATTAAAAAAAATAATTCATTGAAAGAAAAAAGGCAATAAAATAAAATAGAAAAATAATGAATAATAATAATATAATAATACAAATACTAATAAATCTGTTGAAGTGGAGTTTATACTAATCTAAACCCTCTTTCTGACAGTCCCGGACGGTCATGTGTCTCCTACGACAACGAGATCGTGATGATGAACCATGTTTACAGAGAGCGTTTCCCAAAGGTACACATTAGACACATTTGTGCATTAAACACACCATAAGCATTACACCATTATTAATATTTTTGTGTTTCTTTCAGGCCACGGCTCAGATGGAGGAGCGCCTGTTGGAGATCATCACCCACTGCTCACCGGAGAGCTCCCTCCCTCTCGCTGACGGAGTCCTGGGCTTCATCCAGCATCAGTTGGTGGAACTGGCCCGAGACTGTTTGGACAAGTCTAAGAAAGGCTTGGTTACTTCGTGCTACTTCGCTGAGCTGCAGGAGAAACTGGAAAAGTTCCTTCACGAGGTTGTGTAGCAGTTATCTCCGTTTGCATGTGTCAGAGATCATTCTTTCTCTTTGAAGCACAGTTGAGTGCGTGACCTTTATGAGTTATGTCACGTTACGCCGATCAGACTGCCGTGAAAAGAGCAATCAGGAGGCAGATCGCTGCAGGCACTTGTTTGCTGTGTGCTAGAAACATTTATCAGTGATTTTGTGATGTACTTTTGCCACAAGTGTCATATCTGTTGTGTTAGATTGGTTACTATAACAACCCTTTTTCCCCTTATTCTCTGCATAGTGCCAGACTGAGGGCAGACTTCAGCTGTTCTGATAAATCTATTCCCATGCACTCAGTCAGGAGAGCACCAACGTCTCATTGAGGCCCAATGTTATGTTCAAAACCACAAACTAGTAATGTACTAGCCTCGTCTTACCATACTATTGTACTCATTTCATTTCCTAGTATGGTCTGGATTTGCGCCATTGACTCCGATAACAGGCGGGAGGGGTTAAGTCCTTTTGCAGATTGAAACGATTGGATCTGACTTTACCGTGACGTATGTAATGAGCCCGAGTGAGTGTGGCATTTAGCATTTAGCCTAGCTTTAGCATTTAGCCTAGCTTTAGCCATCTCCTTTGCCACTAACGGAGCCCGTTGGGAGTAGAGCCACAACATCTTTGCAGAAATTTTCTAAACATGAACCAGAACAAATTACTATTTTACTATCACATTCTCTGCCAAACTACAACCAGCAAATTTATGTGCAAACCTTTGATGTCACCAACACCGACCTGCAACACCCGCCTCCCCCGCTCTCTGATTGGTCGGAGGGGATTTAACCGAGGAAACTGCAGCCACTAGGATCAGACCCAGACGTACATGTAGGAAATGATCATGGACCAGAGTTTACACATGGTAAGACCAGGATAGTAATGTAGGGTTAAACAAAATTGGATCAATGTTAATGGTGAGCAAATCACTTGAATATTTCACAATAACTTTATCCATATAATCTTTGTGGAAACACGAAGGTTGCGGAACTTCTACTAGATAAGATTTATGTTGCTAGAAAGTATTTTTATCATTTCATCTGCAACTTTATATGTTTGAGTTTTGACTACTACTACAAAGTTCAGGTCGAACAACGAATAAAGTTAAAACGGGCTTTGTTTGAAAAATGACGCTGCATGAATATAATTATTGTGAAAATAATACAGTATATGATAAATTAAGTAGCTCTCAATCGGAGAGCTACTTTTATACAACAGAGAGAGACGGAGAGCTACACCTTTTTGCTGTCGTAATAAATGTCTATATTATAACTACCACAAAACATGGAGAACACTAATGTAAAATATACCATAGTACTGTATAACCAATAGATTTGTACTAAAAATAGTTGTAAAATTACCAACAAATATAATCATTCAAGATGATGATATATATATATATATTTTTTAAAGATGTCTCCATTTCTTGTTTGTCTTGTTTGTTGTAATGTATCAGCTGAGAGCTCAATGTTCTCCTCTTGATCCCGATCTCTCCACAGTATTCAGTGAATGTCCGGCAGCTCGCAGTGCGCTGTGAGGACATGGGTTGAGCGTGTTTTCAGATGACATAAGCAGCATAAGCAGGAACATGTACCATAATTATTTGTCCCTGTTTGGTCTCTGTGCAGGCGTATGAGCGCTCTGAAAGTGAGGAGGTCCCGGTCATCATCCAACTAGTCAGAAAGATCCTTATCATCATCTCCAGACCTGCTCGTCTGCTCGAGTGTCTAGTAAGAATCTCTCAAGACGGATATAATCTGCGGACACCTGTGAATCATTAATCAATCTCATTTGCAGCGATAGATTTATTTTTAACCTACGGACTAAAACTCATAACGGATTTTTCAGAATATATGTCGCAGCAGCCGAAATTGCAGAATAAAGAAGGAAAATAACATACATAAGAAGTCGCACAATAGAATAAGTTGCATTTTTTGGGGATATTTTTTAAATCCAACATCAAGAATAGACATTTCATCTTGAGGCAACAAAAAAAATTTTTTTGTTATTGAAATAAGTCATTGAAATAAGTTTAGCATATAGAACATGCTAAAAGTTTACCCAGCTCAACTTAATATCCCCGGCTATTTATTTAATTTATTTATTTATTCATTTGACAGGGACAATGAAGTCATACATAGTTACATTATGAAAAACGCAGCTGATGCGACACATACAGAGTGTATAGCTAATGCTAATTTTCAACTCCTGTCACTATTATTAGATATTATACGGAAAATAAAATATAAAATGTAAAAATTTCACACATAAGTCACTCCAGAGTATAAGTCGCAGGCCCGGACAAATTATGACAAAAACTGTGACTTATAATCAGAAAAACAGGGTAGTTGAAAATATGTAGATGTTCTCTGCAGAGGTCGACGGGGGTGGGTCACTAAAGTCCCACTGCCTGCCACACTTCCTAACCCTCGGCCTCTTTGACTTCATGCACCTTGTAACTTTGTTTTTGGGAAATGGGAAGTGATCACTTCTGCTTCGAGAACTGTGGTTGGCATCAACACAAGAGCTGACGTAGCAGATGTAGAAAAAACCAACAATTTAATTAACTATGAATGTGTATTTGTAAGCATTGAAAAAGGAAGTCTAGTATTATGTATTTATATATGTGCAAGAAATGTAAAAAGGGCATATACGGAGTAGGCCGAGCAGATAGGGTTAGTGCTGACACAGGTCTCATACAGGTCTACACACTTTCAGTTAATCAGTTAAGCAACACTTTTGGAAACCACTACATACAGAGATTGTGAACTTGAAAGTAGCAGAATAAATATAACTTAAACATGCATTGTTGTGAAATAGACATTAATGAGTGTGATCTAATCCAGCGGTTCCCAAACCTTTCAGACCAGAGCCCCCAAAACAGGCTTGAAACTGACTTGTGAACCCTACAGATATACATTTTTTAAATGGTATCAAACATCAAAACAAAGTATCAAACCATGCTAAATTCAGTTGAATGTTGTTTACTTGAGTAATGTACTTTGCTATTTGATCTAATATCACCTAAGAATAGTGTTAATAACAAAGATATTGTAAAAATATAATGCAGAAATCTTCTATCAGAACCACTGATCTGATCAACTCATTTGGTTCCAGGAATTTAACCCAGAGGAGTTTTATCATCTCCTTGAAGCAGCAGAAGGTCATGCCAAAGTTGGACAAGGCATCAAGACTGACATCCCCCGATATATCATCAACCAGCTGGGGCTCACCAGAGATCCTCTCGAAGGTAAACAATAAAAGTAGTTGTATTATTAAAGGAAATACTACTACGTATGGCTGAATATCAACTATAACTTCTTTGCTTTTCTTGTAGAAATCCAGCTTGAACAATTTGATATGAGCCCCACGGCATCCACTGAACCAGAGCCCAATTCAGAGGTGAGCATCCAGAAACCGAGGCTCCAGAGACAGACCCTGACTCTCTGTATTCTGTGTGACTGTTCTAATCCTAATCCACTTCACTTTTCAGAGTAAGACGCCCCAGACATTGACTCCAACTCGACGGAAACCTTTTGAAAGTGATTTTGAGACAATCAAACTAATCAGCAATGGTGCCTATGGGTGAGTCCAAACACAAGTCCATAAACACACTATTACCGTACTGATATTTAATATTGGATTTCCGGTCTCCAGAGCCGTCCATCTGGTCCGTCACAAAGAGACACGGCAACGCTTCGCAATGAAAAAGATAAATCGACAAAATCTGGTCTTGAGAAACCAGATTCAGCAAGCTTTTGTCGAACGAGATATTCTTACATTTGCAGAGAACCCGTTTGTTGTATCCATGTTCTGCTCTTTTGAAACACGGCGTCACCTCTGCATGGTCATGGAGTATGTCGAAGGTATTAGGACTTGAGTAATGTGTTTATCAAATGGCAAATGCGGTGCAAGGGTTTTCATGTTGTTATTCCCCAACAGGAGGAGATTGTGCCACTTTGCTCAAAAACATGGGTCCTCTCCCTGTTGAAATGTCACGCATGTACTTTGCTGAAACGGTTTTGGCGCTGGAGTACCTTCATAATTATGGCATTGTGCATCGAGATCTTAAACCTGACAAGTGAGTTTGTTACAACACAATAGCTGTTAAAGGACCTGCTGTTTTTATACAAATCTAAACTGTTATTTTGATCCCACTAGTTTGTTAATTACATCCATGGGACACATCAAACTGACTGACTTTGGCCTGTCTAAAATTGGCCTGATGAATATGACCACAAATCTCTATGAGGGTCACATGGAAAAAGACACGCGAGAGTTTATTGACAAACAGGTGAGAAGAAAAGCTTAAGCGCTAATGGGCACAAAGTTAAATAAAAAAGGTTACAATTTAATTATTACTGTGTGTAGGTCTGTGGAACGCCAGAGTACATTGCCCCAGAGGTGATTCTCCGTCAGGGATACGGGAAGCCGGTGGACTGGTGGGCCATGGGTGTCATCCTTTATGAGTTTTTGGTTGGCTGTGTTCCATTTTTTGGTGACACGCCTGAAGAGCTTTTTGGTCAAGTTGTTAGTGGTAAACAATGGATTGTTTTTCTTGTTTGTAGACATGGGTTTTCTTTGAGAATATGGTTCTAATGCACATTCTTTGTTCTTAGATGATATTATTTGGCCTGAAGGTGATGATGCTTTACCCGGAGATGCCCAAGACCTGATCACTCGCTTGTTACGGCAGAGTCCTTTAGAGCGACTTGGCACTGGTAGAAATATAGTGTTTTCACATGGATGCATTTGGAGAAAACTGTTTCATACAGATTCTTGATGTCCAGGTGGAACCACAGAGGTGAAGCAGCATGCTTTCTTTCTGGGTTTGGACTGGAACGGTCTCCTGAGACAGAAGGCAGAGTTTATCCCTCAGCTGGAGGCAGAGGACGACACCAGTTACTTTGACAGTAAGTGAACAAACAGAAGGCATTAGATGTATATTTGATTTTTGGTTTTAACTTAGCCGTTAATGTTTATTTTATTTAGCTCGCTCAGAGCGCTATCACCACTTAGCATCTGATGAAGATGAAGAAACAAATGATGAAGAGTCCTCTTTGGAGATACGCCAGTTTTCCTCATGGTCCAATCGCTTCAGTAAAGTAAGAACCGGCTTGTATTTATAAAGTAGAACTTCAATTTAATGATATGTTTGTTTTTTAGGTTTACAGCAGCACTGAATATCTGGCCACACCGTCCAATCTCAGTTTCTCATCTGATCGAAGTCACAGTGAAGAGAAAGAGGACCGGCCGGATGTGGGGCTCAGTCCCTCTCAGGGTCCAGCAGAGAGCACTGTGGAGCGGAGGCACTCAGGACGCATGGCCAGGTTCAGTACATTCAATTAATCACAGTATTATAAATATGTCTTTGCACTAAATGAAAAACATTTGGATGTAGCCTTCGACCCAGGGCATCTTCCAGCTCGTCTCAGTCCGAGAGAAGCTCTAGTCCTTTGGTCATGAGCAGCACCCACAGCCTGGAAACTATGCCTCGCTTTGCACTCTCCACCGATGATGAAGGTACTTTACTTGTAATTCTTCTGATTTCCACATAATGAAGATGGTGCTAATCCCGTTGATCCTGACTGCAGCTGAAGTTGTTGTGTCAAACCTACGAAGGATTCGAATCCGTAGCAACAGCACCGGAGGCAAACACTCGTCTCCCAAAGAGCCCACGGGTCCTCGTCGATTTGGAAACCAACTGGAAACACCAGACAAACAAAAGCTTTCTTGTGGTGGAAAAGTGCCCAAGTCGGCCTCTGTGTCAGCACTGTCTCTCATCATTACACCTGGTAGGCCGACATCTTTATCGTTGATTTCTCTGTTTGTATCTCATCTGCAGTTTACATGTTTTTCTTCTTACAGACGATACTCCCACTGGTCTTCAAACTAGTCCTATCTCTCCTCGCTCTTTGTCCTCCAATCCTTCGTCTCGTGAGTCTTCGCCGAGCCGAGACTTGTCGTTCAGCCCCGGCAGCCTGAAGCCTCCCATCATAATCCACACCTCAGGGAAGAAATGTGGATTTACTGTCCAGGCCATCCGTGTTTTCATGGGCGACAGTGACGTCTACACTGTGCATCATATGGTGTCTGTAAGAAATCCCTTTTATAACAAGACAGTTTAATGTATTGGCCAAGAAGTATTTTAATGTCCTTTTTGTTGTTCCAGAGTGTAGAGGAGGGAAGTCCAGCTCACCAGGCAGGCCTTTGCATGGGGGATCTCATAACACGCGTCAATGGAGAGTCCGTCCAAGGCCTGGTCCACACAGAGATGATAGAACTTCTGCTCAAGGTCATTTCTTGGCTAATTCTTTTGACTAGCAGCACAGTTCTGTCATTCTAAACATACTTTTGTCTAATATTTAGAGCGGAAACAAGGTGGCCTTACAGACAGTAGCTCTGGAGAACTCTTCCATCAAAGTAGGTCCTGCTCGTAAAACAAAACACAAAGGAAAGATGGCTCGGAGAAGCAAGAGGAGCAAGAGGAGAGACAACTATGACCGGTTAGCAAACACTCATGTGATGAAGTGAGTTTTCTTATCTTCCAACAAAGGTCTTCATGTGTTGTACAAGTTTTGAAAAATGACTCCTTGGCATTACCATTATTATATTCACACCTGCAGATTGAACAATAATGTGATGCCTTTTCTGGTAACCACAATTGCAACACATCATTTCTGTTTGTATTTCACAACATGTACGCACAAATAACTCCAAAGTATAGTTTTGTAATAATACAGTAAATTTGTTGGAGCCATATGTGGGATGTTTGCTTGGAAAAGCTTTTGAACTTAACGTACAAATCATTTTACAAGTAAACCTTGCAATAAAAAACCATCTGCATTTCCATGGTCACATGATCACTGGAATTGAATGCCCCCTCCCACCCCAGACTCTCCTTTTGCACTTAAGATCTGTTTGGTTCACTAGTAATAACACATTTATTTATTTTTTATTATTAATAGTTTTTGTGACTCTGTGAAAGGCGCTTTATAAAGATACAGCGCTTTTTCAGGACACATGCTTCTTCACATGCCATTGTTTTTTCACTACATACAAGGTCGCGATTAACTATTGTTGTAGCCACAGCTGCCCTGGGGCACACTAACAGAAGCAAGGCAACTAATATGTGCCAACAGCCCCTCCCACCACCACCACCAACCATTCACACACACACCAGACTCATTCTAATGTGGGTGAAGTGTCTTGCCTAAGGACACAGCCACAGTTTGGCACTTTCAACCGCAGCCGGTTCCCAGAGGTCTCCCATCACAGCACTAACCAGGCCCTGCCCTGCACAGTTTCAGAGGTCTGACAGGATCTAGCTTTAGCATGCAAGTTTGTCCACGTTGGTTTAAGCAGTCAAACTACCTTTCATATAATTCCAAACCTACGTTCACAGGTTTTGAAGTTATTTGTTCTGTATAATATTTATTAGACAAATATCCCGTTTTCTTTCTGAAGGCGAAGAAGTATCTTGAAGAAACTGTCCAAGCAGAGCACCGTGATGCACAGCAGTCGAAGCTTCTCCTCTGGTCTCCATCAGTCGGTTTCCTCCAGTGAGAGTCTTCCAGGCTCTCCGACACACAGCCTGTCCCCGGGCCCCTCCACTCCCTGCCGGAGCCCGGCACCCGACCATCAGACCTTTGGTAAGACTCATGGTTCAGGACGTTATTGAGCAAAATGTTTTCCCAAGTGTCATACTTAGTAGGTGATTTTAGATCAAAGTGTTTATTTTTTACAAAGCTTTTCTTTCTCTTTCCCAGAAAACCACTCTCCTCAAAGCACATCTCCGTGCTCTAGTTCTCCAAGTTCTCCAGCGACGCACATCCGTCCAAGTTCCCTCCACGGCCTGAGCTCCAAGATGAGCACACAGAGATACACTAAAGTGGGCCGTCGGAAGTCTACAAGCAACATTCCTCCTTCTCCTCTGGCTTGCAACTCCTCGTCTTCCACGCAGCCGTTGTCCCCACAGCGTTCGCCGTCTCCGTTGCCCGGCTTTGCCAAATCTTTCCACGCCTACCACGGTAAAACTCTCTCCCCGCCGACCATAGTTCGACATGTGCGGCCTCGAAGCGCAGAACCTCCTCGATCCCCGCTGCTCAAGAGAGTGCAGTCTGCGGAGAAACTGTCAGGGGTGTACCACGTGGACAAGAAGTCATACGCCCCACGCAGGCATACGTTGGAAGTGCCATTTTACGACGATCTTCTCGGGGACTCGGAGGCAGAAGGGGCGTGCGGCGGTTACATGGGGGCTGAACATGGGCGGCTGAGCGGCTACATCACCGGGCAGAGAATACGTGACTCCGGTCTGGACAGGTCCGAGCAGCTGGTAGTGATGCGCAAACTCAACCTGTCCGAGCGCCGCGACTCCTTCAAAAAGCAGGAGGCCGTGCAGGAAGTGAGTTTTGACGAACCTGAGGAGAAGAGCGGCTCCACGACCCCCGTCCCGGCTCCGGCCAATCAGACGCCGCATCAGCACACCCTCCTGAGACCGGGCCTATCACAAAGCAGCGGGGAGGCGGAGGTCCCGGGCGTCCGCAGATTCACGCTGGTGCCACAGATTGCGGTTCAAGGCTCCACAGAGAGCGAAGGACAAGACGAGTGGGAGCCGTGTTCAGACGGAGAGGACGGTAACGAGAACATGGAGATGGAAACGTCCGTGCAGAAGCTGAACGTCATCAAGAAGACGGACTCGCCGGTCAGAGCGACGGAGGCCAGAGCGACGGAGGCCAGAGCGACGGAGGCCAGAGCGACGGAGGCCAGAGCGACGGAGGCCAGAGCGACGGAGGCCAGAGCGACGGAGGCCAGAGCGACGGAGGCCAGAGCGACGGAGGCCAGAGCAACAGAGACAGAGGCCAAAACCCGCACAGAGGACTTGTTACAAAAAGCACATCTGAAAAAGTAACACGCACTGACGCTTTCTTTTTCCCACTAAATGTAACGCGCAAAATCTCAAAAGTGTTCATTCTGTTGCACAATCTTCAAAGAGTGTTGTTCGTGTCAGTGTCAGAGCTCCACTTGTTTACTTGAATTTTTCTATTGTAAATATCCGCTTGAAGGCTTTGTTCATTATTTATTCCGTTTTTTGCTCCATTGAGTTGGAGGATGTTGTCATTGGTTAAAGAGCAAAAACTCATCATTTTGTTTTCATACCAACATTGTCTGTGTCCTTTGACTTTTTAAAGATAAATGTCTATTTTTTACATGAATTGTTGAAGTGCATAGTAGTTTGTTAATGCTGAACTGAATTTGCTGCTGGACCAAAAGGTACCAACGTGTAGATTTGATATAAAGTATTTTTTTTCTTTTCCTAAATCTGAACCGTACAGCTTCCAACATCAGGAAAAAAAGGGGTGCACGAATCCTCGCTTAAGCCTTTCTCCGATGTGTTGTCGGAGTCAGTCTCACGGGTTTAATACCTACAACATTTTGAAAACTCCCCCAGGCATGACGTTCTTCCGCTTTTCTTTTAGTATCAGTCCGATCAGTCACATGTCGCCTCAGGATTGTTGCGTGCCACGAAAGCAGTCGTCTTTATCAAAGAAAAGATCTCTGAAGTGTCACGTTATCCAGAATGTGCAGTTTCGTTTACGTTATTAGCTTGAGAGGCTATCACCGGCTCGTTGCCATGGAGATGCTATAGCCGAGCCTGGTATGTTCTACAGCAGGGCGGTGTCAAACTAGTTCCAGAAAAGGGCAGGTGTGGCTGCAGGTTTTGGCTCCAACCTGAGCAGAAGCAAGACCAGACTCTCCCCATTTCCTCAAATCTTCAGGTTAAAACTGGACTCGCCTGAGAGTCTGCTGTGCTCTTACTGGGCTTGGGAATAAAACCTGCAGCCACACCAGCCCTTTCTGGAACCGATTTAAAGGTTTACTGCTTCTTTTGAACAATATAATCCATGCAATTACATCCATTGAGACCCGAACACGAGAAACCGAAACAGAGAAGGACATAAGTTCAGTTTTTTTTTTTGTTAATTTCTAGGACAATATTGTGTTGTTTTCCTCTCAGTGCGTGTCCAAACCCCTCCTTAACTTCCCGTGTACGATGTTTACAACAGAGAAATGTGCACTAAAGTATTTCTACATGACCAGGGCTCCTTCAAACTGTTACAACCTGTTTCTGTCTTTGCTTTGCTCAGATATTTTTTTATATTTTCAAGCTGATCGACTAAAAACGTTGGGAGATGAGCACATTTGGGATTGTATTAGTTTGCGGAGGAGGGGGAAGGGGCTAGACATGGATCTGACAATGTTTTCTAGGTACTCAGAATGGATGTATGTGGTTAATTCTCTGTAAACTGTGCACATTTTGAGGTTTACCGTTTGTTAAATCAGTGACTTATGCTGCATTTTGTACCGTTCTTCTCCTCTGCAGTCTATTGTTACGTCTTGTAAAGTCGTCGATAACAGCACGATAAAATCTGTTTTGTAGATAAATGGTTGGCTATTTTTGCAGGTTACCAAAACTTGTTTACATTTTTATATCCTCTGGTTGTTCACGTACAAATTGTATGTTCAACAGTGTCATGGGAAAAATAACAAATACTTTTTGGTTTTTTCCTTAATCCATCTTAATAGAATTTTTTTTTAAATCCTCAAATGTGAAGGAGTAGCCAATACCAACGTTTTCATTATTTTTGTGATGCATTTAGAGGAATGTCACTATATTTTCCGACACAGTGTTGGCTGTTTGTCTGTGCAGACTTTTGTATGTGTGTGTGTTCTTTGTGGACACGTTCGGTGCATGCTGCATGACACAAGCACACTTCTGTAAAACTTGACTGCATGGTATATCGGCGTTGTTGCCCTGTACTGTGTTTTCTTGTGAAATTGAATAAAATTTTATTTCTTGGATTCACATCCGGCTGCAGGTCATTTGACATTTGACTTATCTGCTCCCATCTCTGTGTGGACTGAGACAAATGTAAATGTAAACCGCTTTGTGACTCTGGTCTGTGAAAGGCGCTATACAAATAACGATTACTTACTTACTCACCAACCGACCTACCTACTTACTTACTTACTTACCTACTAACTTACTTATGTACTTTCTTACTTACTCACTCCTTGCCAGTGGGGGTGTACCCGGAAAGAGAATTACCCAATGCTTTTGTATGGTTCCTTCTTTCCTCTAAAACGTCTTTACAGGATGGTCCAAAAGTGGCTCTTGGTCCAAAGCTGTCGATGCGGAGGGGGGTAAATATTTTTGGGATCCGTGTAGTTTAGCCACTGTGGACTTTTGAATGCACTTGTTAAATTAATGGGGCTCGTGCCGTCTGCCGCATGTGCAGATGTGTTTTTTTCAACATGTTCTTGTGGGAGGGGCTGCCCACGACCATTTTGAAAAAGCCCACAGAAGGCAAAAGTGGTGGCACATTAGTTTCAACGGCGGAGATAGGCATCACTACCTCCGTTAATATTTACAGTCAAAGATTCGAGCCCCCCATGGGATCTTCTCCATCGACTCCCACTGATGTCTGGTGTCGTTGTGTTCTTGGGCAAGACACTTAACCCCACTTTACCTGATGCCCCCGCTGAAAGATCGATGCTGGTGCTCTGTGGATTGGGAGCCGCTCTGACTGCCACCCCCCGACCCAGAAATGGACAAAGAGGAAGAAGAAGGAGATGGATGGGATGGCACTTAAACAGCCTCGGACCACAATGGCACCTGGTGTTTCCGAAAGTCTCCAACTGCACTAACCAGACCCTGCCCGGCTTTGCTAAGACGCTTAACCTATAATGGACGTGAAAACATGGCCTAAACATACGCCTCTCCCTCCACACTGTCTGTACTGTACATATCATTCATCTCACTGATGAAAAATATATGGTATATAGCACAAGATTATTGAACAATAACTATACTAAAATAAAATTAAATATGACTCTATAGCAGCAAAGAAACTAGTATGAAATCTCTTAATAACTTTATTATAAATAGCAATATACAACATGTGTAAGTTTCTTTTAATAGGCTCTAATGTTAAATTGGTTGGCAATCCTGGCTCCAAATAAAGTACTGTAAAGTTAGTGTGGCTAAATGCAAACATCCCCTTGTGCTATCTCTGTGTCAAATTGACCCTTTAATGTTCGCTTTATTTGTCTGATTTTCCAAGATGTAGAAGCACTAATAAAAAACCAATTATTATTAAGTTTATTTAAATCATTGTTTTATATCTATAGGCCTTTACTAAACGGTTGCAATGCATTTTTATGGTAAGGGAGGTAAATTTCCAAACAAGCTTGAAGTGTCAAAAGTGACTCAAAAAGTGAAACGTCAAATGGTTGGTTTTCCTAACTTTTTAAGCCCTGTTTAGAGTCTAAAAGGGTCTACTTTGAATCACTGTTTCACTGAGTCATTTTTACCTGAGATTAGGGTTGACCATAACATCAGAGGTGGAATTTATACATTGCAGTAACGCAGGAGCCAGAAACTATCCAACATCATCAACATTTGCATCCTGCTCTAAATCAAAACAATTCTGATATTTATAAGGGCCTTTATCCCCACTGCTGTCAGACTGTACGATACGTCACTTTAAGTCACTTGCACTAGGACTGAAAAAAACAAAACACAAACCTGCACTACTATTGCCACTGTTTCTTAATTGACACTTTTATTGTACATGATATATCCTGCATTTAACATGTTTGCACAATTCTTTCTTTGCACAATTATTTTTTCTTATTGAGTGTTTCTATCCATGCCAGATGTGACACGTAAATTTCTCCTGTGTGAGATCAAAAAAGTCTATCTTATCTTATCTTATAATATAATTGGTTATATATAGTAATTGATAATATAACACTCTTCACAAAAGGAGATGATCTTGTATATAAGATTAATGTGACTAAAGACTATGCGACAATTGTTAATACTATATCAATTATGGGTAAATATCATATTCATAAAAGCAAATGGAGAAAGAACCTGCCAAATATAAAATGTAAATGATTTTAAAATGTATTTGTCCTCTCTGAAAAAACTGATAGAAAGCAATCTGAAAGCTAATCAAATTTACCAGTCTGCTGAAAATCTACTAAGACATTGAACAATCTATTTCATGATATTTTGTGTCTATTTTGTGAATTTAAATTTTTGTATTATTAATTAAACAAATATTATTATTATTTATTATTTCTTGAAGCTTTGCCTTGTGTATTGCAGTAACGCAACTGTTCCACCAGGTGTCACTAAAGCGTGTCCAAACTTGATTTCTCTGAAGAAGCCTGTGTCCTTCACAACAAACATGGCGACTGCGACTAAAATCATCCAGAAACTGAGAAATCTGTTGTCTGGGGTAAGTTTTAATCTAACTCGATTCGCTGCAAAGATCAATAATATTTTGCAGATTGTGGTTTGCGAATGTTGCTGAAAAAGAAAATTAGAAAAACGCGTGAAGCTGTGAGCGCTGCAAGCTAACCTCACTGTGTGTTTTTGTGTTTTCAGCAAAATCTACAAGGAAAACTTCAGCTCCGATATGAAGAGATAGCCAAACGGTACTCTCCATATTATTGCCCTCTCCACTTTTTGAACTAAACTCTCTGGTCTTGACATTTTGCACGTATCACCAGAATGATTGGGAGGACCAAGAGTCTTGATGATCCACCGGGAAGTAGAAAACCCTCCTATATACCTTTAATTTAAATAGGAAGATCTTCTCGTATTCTGAGGAGGTCTTACCTGTAACTTCATGTCAAGATTTTGAAGTTTCGATTTGTTCGTTCTGAGTAGAAATACCAACTTCATTCGATCAATAAAGATGTTTATTTTAGAACATGTAAAACACAAATCCATTATCAGTTTATTTTTTATGTTTTACTTGTTTGCTATGCATTTGTCACGTGTATTTAGTTTTACTATTGCATGGTATGTGGGTTTTTGTCATTGTGTTATGTTATGTATTGTATGTTTTGTGTGTACATAATGTGAATGTTAGTTTGGTGACTGTATTGTCTGAAAAAAAAACAACAACACAGAAAACCGCTGAACATTACAAACACACATTTATAACTGCAACCTCAAATCAGGATTTGAATGGGATTAGATCTGGAAACCGTTCTGTGGGAAGCCCAGGCCAAAGGATAATCCCTGTGGTGTCAGAAACGTTACATTGCCAAGTATAACACAGCAATGGATTCTCACAATTGTTTGTTTTTCCTCTCAGGACGCAGCCTCCCCCTAAACTACCCGTTGGTCCGAGTCACAAGTTTTCGGACAACTACTATTTCACCAGAGACGGACGCCGGGAATCTGTGCCTCCCACGATCGTCATGTCAACACAGAAGGCCCTTTCTCCTGGCAGGTAAAGAATAGGACATCCTTCAGCGAAATGTAATGTTTTGTGTCTATAATTGTAAAGATTATGGACCCAAAAGAATCTGTGAAGGAGAGGTCTTTCCTTCCTGCTGCTGTCAGACTGTACAACAAACCATAAGGACAAATGATCACTGCCAACCTGAGCTCACGTGTCATGTGTTGGTGCAATATCCTAAAATGTGCAATAACCACTGTCACTTTACTACTGCTCCTAATGTACAGATGCTAACATACTGCTGCTAACATGTACAGATTCTAACATAACTACACATTGCTAGCACTAGAATACACAGTACCTTATTTCTGCCTCTTATTTTGTTTTATTTTAATTAGTATAGCTATTGTTCACTTAAAGCGAGACTAACTCACTTTGAGATTTCGAAGCAGCCATTTAAAAGTAAGCGCTGCCCTCTCTCCTTCTGCTCCCCTCCCCGCACTGTCGAAGCTATCGCCCCCCTCTACCCCCCACTGCCCCGGTCGGCACTAGATCATATACGGAATCTGGACGAAACCGGAAGAAACAATCCTTTTTTCAAATTAGTTTTAGACTAAAAAGTCCTTAAGTGGTGACTGGTTAAGTTTTAGGTGTCTGATTAAGATGGTTAAGGCTGGGTTGGGGTTATTTTATGGGAATGGCTGGTTAAGTTTAGGCATGAATAGGTAGTTTGTTATATTCCGCTTACGTCCCGATTCCGTATATGATCTAGTGCTGACCCCACTGCCCCCCTCCCACTCAGCCTGTGCTCATGTGCCGTTGTTTACGAAGCTGATGTCTCACAATATTCGCACATCTGAACGTGGCGTGACCATAGAATGATAGAACCGGTAAGTGCGGAGGAACGAGACTTTCTTTTGGCTGTTTCGCTGTGTAAGCAGTAACCGGTAATGACGACACGGGAAGTTTCAGGTTATCCTCCGCCGCTTGTTTACCTCAGCTGTCTGTGCTAACAAGAGACCTGTAGCTTTTCTCAAGAAAGTGGGGGCCAGTGGTCTGCTGTGATTGGTCACAATCTGGTCCTGAAACACTTTCTCTTCCTTGTTGCACAAAAACGATCTAAAATAAAATGACACGCCAGCACAAATCTGCGCTACTTTTTTTTCAAAAGGACGTATATCCCAATGCATTTCATGGACATGGATTGGATTTCCCAATGTCCAGCTTTTACTTGTGTATGTTACACTTTTTGAATGATGGGCCAACTCATTCATGTGCAGCACATTTAAATTTATTTCAGGCTCTGCAAAACACGTAAAACAGAGATTGAATGCAGGAGCTCACTCGGTGCAGTGTCATCACGTTAAGTACTAACTGTACTTCTAGCTATACATTTAAGTATTATTACACACATAAATACTGTACTGAAATCTCTATCTGCAATGTGATCAAAACACAAAAAAACACATTCCTCTCAATATTATTAATTATAGATACTGTTCTAATATTCCCCAGCTTACAATCATGTCATTACAAGTACGAAGTCAGTGTGTGGAGAATACGCTCTGCCTGTCATGCAAGTCCACCTATCTCAACTTGACAAAGGACCCATGTTGTATTTGAAATAAACTCTGTTTGACTCTTTAAAGATGGCTCAATGTTAACATGTTTCTAAACACTCTCAAATATACAATTCTTACAAAAAAATACCGTTTCAGATACTTTTGTGGCCGTTGTCTCGCGACTACCAACGGTTACACTGTTGACTTGCGGCAACCCCAACTGATACAATCACCCCAAAGTTTCCCTTTTGCCCCTTTAGCTCAATCAAAGGCACTAAAAGTTGTACACAATACATGTCACCACTGTTTGCCATCATCTGTGTGTTTTTAACAAACCAGCCTACCTACAAAACATGTAAAACAGACATTGAATGCAGAGCTCACTCGGTGCAGTGTCATCACGTTAAGTACTAACTGTACTTCTAGCGTTGCCCCGGCAGCAACCACTAGTGAAAGCACCAAGCGTCCTCTGCTGGCGGAACCAAGCATTGCATTTCAAAACGCACAGTATTCAAAATTATGTACAATAAAACGGTGGTTATAAAATAAAATTATGGGGTGCAACTATTATGGCATGTAATAATATTACACAGGGCTACATGTGCTCCTCTTTCCTACTGTTCTGTCACTTGTGATGCAACACTGACATTTCCCCACTGTGGGACGAATAAAGGATCTCTTCATCTTAACCTTATTTTGTGTTTTTTCCAGTCAAGCTGAAGTCCCTGCAAAGCTCCCAGTGACTCCGGGCCAAGTGTACGTGCCGCCGCCTCTGTCCACAGACCAGCCGTACCTCTGAGCGCAGCGTCTGTGCTCCTCCTGTGTTTATTGTGAATAAATATGTTCCATGTACATTTCCTCTGACTCCATCGATTCCTTTTTACACGTTCAACAAATGTTCCAATGTTAAAGCTTTGAAATAACCTTCAGCAGAGTTGAGGAAATTAAAATGTATTCCGCTCTAGAATACTGAATACATGAGCTAAAATGTATTAGTACCTGTATTCTGTATACTAAAATACTTGTATTTATTCTTTTTTACATAAATAATAAAACAAGTCAAAGCTTCAACTGCTGCATTTAACAACCAGAAAAAAATAGAATCTTAACCAATGTTTTCTTTTTTTAACCTTTAATGTGAGAGTTTGTATTCTTGTGATTTTCAGAGAGCAACTGTAATCTAAATACTAGACTTTAAAGTGGTAACTTGTTACTGTGGTTGTTTTGACGACAGATTAATAGAATTATTTTTTTTATGAATAAAAATGGGTCAATGAAAGATTCCTACCATGTGATTTCTGATGATTAAATCCGATGATCCCACCAGAAAAATTAATATTTGAATACCAAATTGTTTTTAGATACCCTTTGTTTCCTTCTGTTTGTCACGCTTGTTAAATGTATTTTTTTATTTTGTTTATTGTAGATGTATACAGTACGTAATTTTTGTATCTTTTTTGATGGAGTCTTAAGAACTTGCTGGAACTTTACAAAAACGATTGGATAACAGGTATATAAATAAATAAATAAACGTATATTTGTGGCTACTTCACCTTAACAGTTGAAACCCATGAACGCTGCTATACATAGTTCCCACAGACCAATGAATGTCACATGACCTCCTCGGAGACGCCATCTTTGATGGCACGCTGCTGTGTTTGTGCATTCCATTAAACAGAAGAATGAGAATAAATGTAGATATTCAAACGCAAATTGGAAAAAAAAGGGCAACTTTTGAGCAAATAATTGTATATTAATACAATGGCACCACAGTTTAACGTGCTACGGACATGTTTTACATATTTGATCAAATTATGCAGCAAAAATTAACAAGCAATGCAAACATTTCTCAAAAACTTTAGATTTAATACCAGTTGGAGCTCCATTTAATTATTTTAATTATATTAACAATTAATTTAATTAATGCTAATGCCACACGGACACTCTGGATTGCTGTTATTGTTTATTTCCGCGTTTTTGACCGTATGTTTTGGTGAATGGTGGGCAACTGATTTTTCCAGGCGTAAAGAGCAGTTTATTTTATGACACAGATCTTTTTACAGAAGCAATGCTGTTTGTGGACATTGTTTTAGCCCACCATAGAACTATTATTATCTATTTAATACATTTACGTTGCCCTCGAGAACCTTGGACGCGACACCGATCCTCCTCATAATAAAGTAATCTAAATAATGAAACTCTCAAGTTACCAGCTATCAGCATACACAAGTTAGTACTGAGTAAATTACGTCTGTCAACACATTATGAGATACGATACGCACCTGACACAAAGTGCTCCGAGCATATTCTTGCGTGTTTTGAGGGAGTTTCTTGCCTGTTTATCTTCGCAAGCCATAACCTCCGTGGTTGTTCTGACAAAAGCTTAGTCTTCTCACATTCATGAAGTCTAATGATGGGTATACTGTAAAATCCAAGTTTAACGGAACCTCCGGCACGATTTGAACATCCATTGACCCAGCAGGAGATGACCATTTTCAACTTTATCACGACATTAACACGTTTCAGCTTCTTTTTCTATTGTTTTGCCCACAGCATGCCAACACAAATGTCGCCGGGTCGGCAAATCCCCGTATGTAGTGACGTCATGTGGGAACTATGTATATAATAGCGTAAACAAGAATATGTCAGTTTATTATTTTTTTTCATCTATTATTTTTTTTATTTACACTTTTTGAAAAAAACATTAACGAAACCTATGTCTAAGTACAAAGACGGACATTTTAGGTGGAGCAAACGAGGAAAATGTGTCTTTCGAAGTGTAAAACAAAATCTTCAAAAAATATAAATTAAAATAAAATAAATAAAAAACTGGATAAATGCAATCGCTAATGGCAACTCGCACTTCTAAGCCAACCATAGACTGCAAACATTAAAATCTAACACACACACACACACACACACACACACACACACACACACACACACACACACACACACACACACACACGCACACACAAAACAGTTCAAACCAGCCCAAACTCATTGTTACGTCATCTTTCCGCGTCGTGTGTTTTGACCGTGGAGGGCAAGAGCATGGGACACCTTGCAGTTCTATTTTCTGTATTTCTCTTCGTACATTCATGGGATCAAGCAATCGGTACGACACAGCATTCGCAGACACATAGACCTGAAAAGACTTGAAAACAAGAGCACGACCGACGCAGAAGTGTGTAGATAAATATATAAACAGGGATTCGCCATGAAGTTCCATGAGGACTATGAATGAATGCGTTTTAAACGTTACCTGGAGATCCTCTTTCCTTGTTATTTCTGTTTAGTAGATTAGGTAACGTGTGTATTACCATTTAGCTTCATAATTTACAAATATTTAACAATTTACGAAATTTGTTACGAAAGGCTGCAAGAGGGAAATGGAAAAAGCCTCCTGCTGTTGGATGGATGCAACTGACACGACCCAAAATCTAAATCTAACTTTTATTTATATTTCTATGTTTATTTTATTTATTTCAGAAGACATAAAACAAATCTAAATGGATAAATCAAAAACATAAATTTCAAGGGAGTCTTGGCCAGGACTCCCTTGAAAAATAGGTTCTTAATCTCAATGGGACTGTACTAACTGTAAATATGAACGCAGACATTACTTAGTAAGATGGAGTTACAATGTAATGACAATATTTCAATTCAGGGATTGGAGACATGTATGACGTCCATTCATGTAACTTCATTTTAACCATCAGTTCTGACCAGAACTGATGGTTAAAATTAAGTTTATTTTGTCCTTCCATATATTCATATAACCAACGTAAGAGCTAGAACAGAAATTAAAATCACTTACAATCATGTCCGAATACTATCTAGCATCAAATACATTGTTAACCGTTACATTACTTTTGCTATTTAATTTTACACATTTAAAGAAACTTTACAATTGTTACACAAATAAAATCAATCCATACCTTGTTCCCTCTATCTCAACTGTAGCTAAACTTTGTCTTTGTCTTTTATGCCATATGAGTGCAGTTTCCTATGACCGTTTGTCTAGACTGTATTGTCTAGACCAGCTGTGTGAAACGTGTATACACTTTGTAACGTTTCTCCGTCTGATGTTGCGCGAGCCACTCGACTTCCGGTTGAGACAGGAAGTGTCAAATTAAAACAGTTTCCTACTGATATTAATACAACAACCTTTACAGCTTGATTTTTTCCATTTGAAAATTTTAACCCTGAAAAAGCATGTTTGAATATTTTTATCTTTCGATCACTAAAAATTCAGTTTACAAATTTCAATGTGATTAAAATTTCAAAATGACAATTCTTTTTTCAATGAAAAAAAAAGACGGATTATTTGTTCCATCAGAAATTGAATTTTAAATGGACCTGAATTCATCTATTTGAATGTTTTTAACATCTTGAATACTTTTTTCTGTGAATTTCAGTCACCGATTATCAATTTCATAATGTTAAATTCAACAGTCAAAATTCAATGGTGAAAAATGCACATGACACATCCGGTGTTCTGACGAGTTGTGTGCTCTCTCAGTTGGTCTGCGCATGCGTCATTTTACTGAGGTAAAAACAGCTTTCAGCAGGTCTATCGGTTGATAACATGAATCTAACAGATTCTAATGAATGAATTGTAATGAAACCAAGGCGAATAACAACATACTACATTAATTTGATGAGTTAGTCTTTTGAACATTTTGGGTAAATGTGCTTGTTTCAAATCATTATTGCTGTATATTCCTGTTTATTTATTTAGGCTGTGTGTGTTTGTTTGTGTTCATGAAAACCATCACATTTGAACATGTATAGCAACAAAGGACAGTGTTATTGTTGGTAAAGTTACACAGTATTTGGGTGTAGCAGTTTCCACAGGGCTCACTCGTGTTACTTGAAAAAGAGCTCCATGTAAAGGAATTATCAAAAAACATGTGTTCCACAGCTCGAACTCTTGTACACTAAATGATATTTGCTGAGTTGTCTCTGAAATAAAGTAACAACGGTAAGAACACCATTGAAATTCGTAAACTGAATTTTTAGTGACTGAAATGTAAAGATAAAAATATTCAAACATGCTTTTTCAGAGTTAAACATTTCAAACGGAAAAATTCAAGCTAAAAAAAATCTTCCATAAATTAGGGATTATTACGATAGTTCACAAAAATTTGCGGTGCAGTCTGATCTCTAGTTATATTGTATATTTCCTATACCGTGTGTATTTTCATTTTAATTTAATTCAATGTATGTCTGTATAGCCCTAGATATGGAAGATTGTTAATCAGATTTTGAATTTTAAATGAGCTTGAATTTTTCCATTTAACATTTTTAACCCTGAAAAAGTATGTTTGAATATTTTTGTCTTTGCATTTCAGCCCTAAACATTCAGTTTTTACAAATGTCAATGTGATTAAAATTTCAAAATGACAAATTCACCTTCATATATAATGAAAAAACCCCCCGGATTATTTGTTCCATCAGAAATGGGATTTTAAATGGACCTGACTTCCTCTATTAGAGTGTTTTAACATTTTGAATATTTTTGTCTGCGAATTTCAGTCACTGACAATCAATTTCATAATCTTTTTCATTTAAATTCATCACATATGACACATCCGGTGTTTCCGATGAGTGATGTGCTCTGTCAGCTCTTTCACAACAGTAGTGATCTCAGAGGACTTTACAAAGCTGTCGATTCACCAACATAGATTAGAGAATCAGACAGTTCAGATCGTCCCCGCTGTCCTTAGACCCTCCTGCTTCGACAAGGAATAACTCAAAAAACCTAGTGGAGAAAAAAATGAGAAACCTTCAAGAGAGTATCAATGTTCATAACTTATGTTTGTAAACTTGATTTTATTTTACCCTTGAGATGCATCTCATTTTCGAGACGGTCCCATGAACATAAAACAAACACATATAACACAGCACAATACAAACAACTAACATTGTTATCATTATTAACACACACAGGTTTGCTCCTCCAGATCCCACTCCACCTCCTGCAATAATAATAATAATAATAATGATTGTGATTACAATTATAACAAATTCAGAAAACATATACATCATGTCTGTGTACAATAGTCAGATACAGGCCATACAGCAGCTGGTAGAATAATAAAAACTTCCATTATACATACAAGTTTTAAAATAAAGTATAAGATAAGTATAAACTTGTGTTGGTGCTGTTAATGTGTGTGATCTGTGCCCAGGGGCTGCAGGACTTTGTGGATCAGGACTTGAGTTCCGGTGCGATGACGGTTGGTGCGTGTCGCGGCTGGAGGTGTGCGACGGGCGACCTCAGTGTGACGATGGGTCTGATGAACGAGAATGTGGTGAGTGCAGGAGGATGGTCGGGTGTCGGGTGTCATACTCACTTACACTCAATAATTGAAAAGGAAATGTGTTTTTGAGTTTAGGATTAGTGTTGAGTCATCGATGTGTTTACTGTGGGGCTTTGGTAATCTGTTAATCTGTGAGAAATATTTGCATTTTCATCTTTCTGAGAAGATTTGGGGTTATTTTCTGTGGAATGTTCAATAGTGTTACAATAGTACTTTCTCTACTGTTTTTATTGGTTTAATTAAAGAAAACAACCCCATTAGGGATTTAATACATTTTAGAGTTAGATTTCTAGTGAGAAAAAACACTTTGACACCTACTGCTAATTTCCACCGTAGGCGTTACAGCACGTACAGTGCATCTGGAAAGTATTCTCAGTGCTTCACTTTTTTCACATTTTGTTATGTTACAACCTTATTTGCGTTTGATTTTGTTTTATGATTTTGTTTATGTGCCTGATGTTTGCCTGCGTCTCTGTATTTGTGTAAATGGTGTCTTAAAAGCCGTTGTGGGCTGGGCATCCTTGCATGCAAAACACTATAATTAAAAAATATCTATCTATTTATCATGCATGGTTTGTGCTCTGACATGCACTGTCAACTGTGGGACCTTATATATACAGGTGTGTGCATCCACACACGAGCACGCGCACACACACACAGCACCTGTATCTAAACAGTAGGAGCAGGACTGGCAGGTTTTACAGTGATTCTGGACATCGTTTTTTTCTTTCATAAAGTCTGGTGTCTGGCCAAACCAGCGCACAGAGACCATGAAGACAAACACATGTGATTTGTGTTGCTCTACATCAGTCCTCTGTACTGTCCTCTACACTTCTCCACCGACTACACTGGGAGAGCATCAGAAGCCGTGCACAGAAGGACCCATGTGCACGGCCAGTGGACATACAGCCAAATACTGTTACGCACAAGGGTCAATTACAAATAAGAGTTGGCAAGATCATAAATTTAAAAATCTTTTGATTGCTTAATAAAACTAAAAATACCATGTCGGTTAGGGTGTGTACTTTTAAGTTATGCATGTTTCATTGTTTTTTTTTACTATTTTCACTTTTTCCCCTCTGCGATACGATTATACACACATGAAAATGTAAAGTGGTGTAACCAACAAATGAATAAAAAAATATAGCAGTATTAATATACTTTAAGTGAGTGTAAGTGCACAGATGGAAATAACTGATTATTGTTGCAAGCAGACCATTAAAAATAAATTATTTGATAATATCCTATTCTGAATATTTATCATTTTAACCACTCACAAGGAGAAATTTACATGTCACGTTTGGCATGGATAGAACACTCAGATTGTGCAAAAGGAGGAAATGTGCAAACATGTTACATGATATATATGTACAACAAAAAGGCAATTACTAGTCTCTCTTTTTTGGACATTTTGTTTTTAACTTTAAAATCTGGTTACACCATTTGACAAGGCTGCTTCTTAAAGGAATAGTTCACCGTTTTTACATACTGACATATGTTCTTACCTTACCTTAGACTAGTTAATACGTACCTGTCTGGTCTTAGTCCGTGCGCTCTGTCATGCAAACGGAGCAAAAACGGGAGCACAAATGCAGCCTCCTCTGTATATTTTGTAGCACCAAAAGGTAGCTCCCGCTAGAAGCTACCAAACTCTTCCAAGTGTTCCCTATTAAATGTATATAGTTACGTGACGTGTTACACTGCAAAGTATAGTAACACAGAAATGTAACTGTCGATTTTCTCAGCGGATAAAACGGGTACTATATTGTGAGGCGTAGTAATCTGAGGGGCGCTACGTCCGCGCACTAACTTCTCTCCGTACTACAAGTCACGCTGCTTCTATTGACGGAAGTGAGCGAGAGAGAAGTCTCCGGAGAGAAGTTAGTGCACGGACGTAGCGCACCTCAGATTACTACGCCTCACAATATAGTACCCGTTTTATCCGCTGAGAAAATCGACTGTTACATTTGTGAAGAAAAATGTATAGGAGGCCTACATACGTAACTATATTTTATGTATGTAACCACATCATGAAAACACCAATATAAAACACGCAGCAAATTCATTTTGTTTCACTCTGGAGGAGCCGCCGTGCAAACGAAAGGCCAATCCGAGGCCTAACCGGGCCTAACTTCAGTGTAAACAAACCTGAATATCAACAAAACAATATTCTCCCTTCTGTCCTGACCCTCGCTGTCACAGTGTGGTGCTGTTGCAATCAGACTTTATTTAATCGCCAGAACACACCAACACACTCTTGTATCCTGCCTGGCTCCGGTCGCCAAAGCGCGCTCCCGTGTCCGCGGCGCACACGCAATGAGCCGCTGCACTTTGGGGAAAGACACACATTGCTCTGATACAAATAACGTGATCCGTGCAGAGTTGTGAGCCACAGTAGCAGAATGTAAACAAGAGAAACGGAAACTTAACTCAACCCCGAGGTAGTCGCTGAAGTTAGTGTTAGCGCCACCAGCTGGACCCAGCGTTGTACTACGTGCTGGAGGAGGCTTTAGTAACAGACTTTCTCTGTTAAAACAATTGTATTTAGAGTAATCATTCGTTGTAAAAATGTGATATTTCATGTAAGTAATGTATGTGTTTAATACGATTGATATATTTGAAGTTATTTTGAAGGTGCATTGTGTCACTGTAAGTGAAGTTATTAGAAAACTGTTAAGCTGCATTTTCACTGTTTACAACGGCAGGGCCATCTCGTTTACAAGCATGTTTTAAGGCTTTTTTCCTGTTACACTTCTGCTCTATGGGGTAATTTAGATTTAACTGCATAAAGGAAAATAATTTCTTTGTCAGTTGTAGTTTGTTTTTAAAAAGAAAAAAATGATTGGTTAAAATTGAAAATCGGATTTGGTGTGATTTGGGCCATATTGCCCAGCCCTAGTGCGCACCATTCAGGATTGCTGTTTGGCTGCTTGAAGTTCTTTTAGGAGGATTTTCCCAAATTTTAGAAAAGAACCACCCTCTCCAGAGGGAAAGCTTACTATGCCTACTACTAAACATGTGCGTCTCTGTTTACAAGTCACTGTTGGCATCGCTCACACAGCTCACTTTCTAAGATGATTGGCACTTTTTCCACTAAGTCAGACAATATTAGCCTGGCCTTAGCCATCTGTATACTCCGGTCAATTATTATTTCCCTACAGTAGTTTGGCGATTGCGGCAAATGCGATAGTAAAGTAATTCATTCGGTTTTGGCTCCAAATATCAAAACATTTAAGCCGGATCAAAAGGAATGTTTAGCAAATGTCATTGCTACCAAGATGTTGTGGCTCTACTCCCCACGGGCTCCGTCAATGGCAACTGAGATGACTAAAGCTAGGCTAAATACTAAAGGCTAGCGACTCACTCGGGCTCATTACATACGTCACAGTAAACTCAGATCTGCAAAAGGAGTTAACCCCTCCCATCTATTAATAGAGCTCAATGGAGAAAATCCAGACCTTAGTACCAAAGGAAATTTGTACTATGGTGTGGTAAGACCATTTAGACGTCGATAGCTTTTAATTTAGTATCGCTCACCAGCCTTTCCTTGTCGCTTCTAGCAGAATTCATGTATTTGCTTTTTAAGCAAATACATTTACAGCTGCATATTAGTGTTCACATGTAATTATCTGACTTATAATATAGATATATAACCTAAATATAGTCTAATTATGGGTGTAATCCATTAAAGTTTACCTCAAATAGAAAGGTCTAGGGTAAGAGTCAAATGGTGTAACCGGTTACACCGTTAGACTTTTCATTTTTCAATCATTTTATTCAAGCATCAACATGGACTACTTTATGACCACATAGTCTTTGTGTAATGTGTTAAACATATATGTTCTACTTGATATTTGTTTATATATTATAAATCAATTATTTACGTTTTACTCGGGTCATACCATTGGACATGCAAACGGTTGTATACATCCTCATGTCTGAAATATGTCAAATTATTTCATATTTTGAAGAGAGAAAGTGGCCTTGACATGCAACTGTAGTGTCATCAGGGGTCCTGCTGCCAGATGTAACTTACTGTCTTTTAATTTTCTTTTGCATTATGAGCAAAATGGCCGCCTGAATGCCGGTAACACCACCGGTGAAGTAGGTGAAGTACACTTGACTTTCAAAATTCCCGGATTCAGACAAAAAATGTCGAAAGAAACTGAAGAATATATTTACATCTATCATTAATATAAATAGTTGAATATTATGCCAGACTGTTTTACGAACTAAATTGTTAAGAATTTTGCCATTTTTAAGTAAGGGGAAGATTTTTGTTACATTTTTTGGGTTACACCACTTAGCCATTTTTGCCTAAATAACCATATTGTTCACCCAAAAGAGATGCAAATAGAAACTTTACATGCTAGGCACTTAGACTATGTTTTATTAAACCAATTTTAATAAAAAAAAAATATATATATTATTTTTAAATGTATTTTTACAGAATGCCCAAAAAAAAGAGGGCGTCACGTCATTGACCCACAAATGCGCTCAGTCAACGCTTACATGCCGTTAACGCTTCCTGTGGAAATGAGCAGTTATTCAGCGCAATCAAAGAATCTTCTGTTTGTTGTTAATCCTACCCCCATAATTCTCATTAAACAAACATTAGCTTCACTGTAACACAGGGCTATCCACAACTTTCCACTAATTTCATATAAAGTTCTGCACAATATTAACACAGAACAATTGTGTGGATGTGTTTCTGCTGCTACTGGACTCCTGCGTGTCTCCTACAGGGATCTCTGTGTGTGTGTGTGTCTGTCTGTCTGTCTATTTGAATCTATCTAAATCTATCTAAAATGTATTCATGCATTTAAAACAAAAAGTGAGGTACTACAGCTTTGTCCTGTTCTTGTGTCTCTTCACAGATGAGCGGGTTTGTAAGAGTGGAGAGTTCTTCTGTGATGATGGGCACTGTGTGTCCGTGCTGTTCCTCTGTGACGGGACAGACCACTGCAGCGACGGCAGCGACGAGAGGTCTTGTCCGAACTGCACCTCGGGCTTTCGCTGCGCCGCGTCGGGGTGGTGTCTGTCCCAACAGCAGCTGTGCGACGGACAGAGCGACTGTGAAGACGCCCGGGACGAGGATCCGCTTCTTTGTGCGTCGCAGACCACTTCCTGTGCCGCCTCAGAGCTCCAGTGCAGAGACGGACGGTGCATCCATCACTCCTACAAATGTGACAACACGAACGACTGCAGCGACGGCAGCGACGAGGAAGACTGTGGTCCGTGAAACACAAGACTGGTCTTATTAGTCGTTAAACCATGGGTCTCCAACCTGTAGCTTCAGGTCTGTCAGGAGGTCACCATCTCCTTCCAAGTAGCTCACCAAAGGATTTAGAAATTTAATAAATATGAAAAATATCACCATCATTCAAATGCCCCCCAATTTTGTAAATGAAAACTGAAGTTTTCTCACTGTAAATGTAACCCCGGGCGAATAGTAACTGACTATAATGACTTCGTGAAACATAAAGTTAAACCAACGTCTTCCGTGAACTCTGTACTTTAGCCTCATGTCCCACATGTGGCAGCATTAGCATTAGCATTAGCATACTGAATTATACTTAACTAAACAAGTGGTTCCCAAAGTGGGAGTTTGTCCCCGTCATCCTCAGGATTCTGGAGGATGTGGGCGGGGCTAAGGTTCGGCTGCACAAAGGCTAGCGGATTTTAAAGCAGCGTAGAGATGATTTTTGGATGTAAATGTGTAATAATTACATTATTATCTGGTATTTAGTAAAGTCTGAATAATGAACATTATGTTTTAGGAGAAATTAGTTCAGATAAAACAAGAAGCTCAAACTATCAACATGAAAGTGAATGTTTGGGTCCGGGTCTGTTTCTGACAGAGGTTCCTGTGCTTTCGCAGTCAATGAAATCAAACTCTGTTACGTGAAAATACCGATACTTTTCTTTTCTGATCCTTCACTGCAGATGTGAACGAGTGTCTGTTGAATAACGGCGGCTGCCCGTCTGTGTGTGTGGACGAGCCCAGAGGCTTCCACTGCGAATGCCCCAACAACACGAGGCAGAGGGGGGACGGCCACTGTGAGGGTTTGTACTATCAGACCAACATCAAATACTTTCATATCATTCATTCATTCATTCATTCATGCTTTAGTGTGATATGAAAATACTTTCATATCATTCATTCTTGCTTCCTTTGTGCGTTTCTTTTTTCTTTTAGAAATGAACCCGTGTCTTGAAGCTGACGTGTGTGACCAGTTGTGTTCTTACTCAGAGGACCATCTGAGCTGCAGGTGTCAGGAGGACTATGAGGAGGACCATCAGGAGGACCATCAGGAGGGCACTGCTGCAAGGGCCTGCAGAGCTAAAGGTTACTGTGGAAGAACAACCCTTCATTCATACAAGTTATAGAAGAATGATTCTAATATTTGTATGGGCTCAACGCAAAGTCTATCCGTCCATTTCCCTTTGCACACTTCCTCCGGCTCCTCCAGGGGGTCCCAATGTTCCCAGGCTTCGTACGCGTTGAGAATCCATATGAGTAATATTAATAATAATGCATGGGGTGAGCGGCAAGGAGTGCCTCTTAGCTTTGGCCCCGAAACGTGCATGGAAGTAGCACAACCCAGGGCTGGCCGGGCCGTCAGTCCTATACCATGCGCCCCCTAACAGGCAGAGCGGCCGCAGCAGGGGGGGTGTAGCTGCGTGTCGGGGCCAACACGTCAGGGACGAAACGATGGGTGGCCAGGAAGAACCGGTCCGCCTCCTCCGCCAGAGCACGTGGCTCCGTAATGGCTGTATTCGCGAGAGCCGTCTGCACGTGAGGTGGCATGTGTCGCAGAAACAGTTCCACAAAGAGGAAATTTGGCTCTTCACTGCCCAGCAGGTTTAACATCACCTCCATGTGTTCTGAGGGCCTGCTATCCCCCAGGCCCTGCATAGAAAGGAGGCGTCGGGCCCGTTCGGATCGTGACAGTTCAAAAATCTTCAGCAGATATGCCTTAATCCCCGCATACTTCCCGTGGGCTGGAGGAGAAGTAATGAAACTCACTGCCCTGGTCGCCGTGGAGCTCCCGAGCGCCGAGACGACATGGTTAATAGCGCGTGTCATCGTCAGTAATTCCACGGAGGGCGAACTGAGCCTCCGCCTGAGCAAACCACGTTGCGGCGGACGTCTCCCAAAACTCAGGCAGCTTGAGAGCGGCGGACTGCGCCATACTGCTTTGCTCTGTATCTTGATCAGTCCCAGAAACTTCTGCGGGACTGACGTCGGGGTCACCAATGTGGTGCGTAAGGAGCGGAGTCGGAGGCGGTGTGTCAAACAGCGGTGACAAACGTACACGTTTTAATGCCATAAAACAGCCAGTGTAACAGAACTCCTCACACAACCAAAAACATTTTTCTTCATGGGAAAAACTGTGCAACCCTTTTTCCTGTCCCCCCGGAACCCCACCAGAGTAACCACAGTTCCATGGGTGAATTATGTAAACCACCACAAGTACTTTGAATGGTAATAGATCTACAGTACTTTCCTCTGATTACTCACGTGCTACAACGCTCAGGGAACGAAATAAAACACTTGCTTCACGCTGGCTAACTTTTAAAAATTAAACAGTTGCTCAGTGCTTCAGTTTGGCGCTGAAGAAGACAGCCAATCACTGCAGAGAACGGAACGGGTCACGTGCTGCTGCTGCTGCTGTTGCTCTGGAGGCGAGGAGGAGGCGCGACGTGTGCACAAACGGAAGACATGTGTCCCGGACCGTCCGGGTCACGGGACATCATGTCATTTTGGTGGGGACTTTTTAGTCCTCACCAAATATTGGTGGGGACATGTCCCCATGGTCCCCACGCAAACCTACGCCCTTGCGGATGACGGGATCTCTGAGCCTGGCCTCCTCCATCTACACCTGCGGACTGCCCCGCCCGACCCGCCTGGGAGTGCTTCGGGCCTGCACCGGACCTGTCCACGTTCAGCGGCCACTGGTCCACGTTCTGTAGCTAGCTTAGGTCCTAGATCTTTAGCCTGTCCGTCCGGAGGAGCGGATCCCTTTCTCAAATGGGTCTCCCTCCCTGTGGGTTTCCCTAGTTCTCCCCAAGGTTTCTCACTTTTTCCCACTGGGTTTTTTAAGAGTTTTTCCTTGTCGATGCAGGAGGGTCTTGTTGGACAGTTAGTGTCCAACAGAAAGGATTGGTGATGATCAGGACACTTTAACATTCTACAACATGTATGGACATTTTCTTCTGTGTGTGCTTTATATTTTTCATGTGTTTTAACTGTTGATTCTCTGATCTGTGTTGGTGATTTCAATGGTTTTGTTAAGTCCTCTTGAGATGACTTCTGTTGTGACCTAGGGCTATACAAGAATAAATTGTATTGTATTCAATCCCGCCCCTGGTGCCTCAAAGAAAAAGAAAAAAGCATTACTCATTGAGCTTCCTATTTTCTCCAGTACAAAAACAAAGCAAATGGCACATATGAATCAACTGTTCAGGTTTTAAAGTAGCAACATAGTAGCAGTACATATAAGAATAAATATAGGATTAAACAGTATTATAGTATAAATGTGTATATATGTGTTCTCCATGTGTCTTCTCTCTTGTCGTAATAATAACAGAGATATTTATTATGGTTTTATTATTCGGAGTTGCTCTCTGCCTCTTCTGTTCTATAAAAGTAACTCTCAGAATTAAGAAGGTTGGAGACCCCTGGTGTAGCACAATCCATACACAAGGCAACTCAAAATCAAGATTAGCATTAAAATCATGAATAATCACAATGCATTAAAGAGAAAGACACAAAAATAAAGCCCCTCAGTTGTATGCAGCTAAACAAAACTGTTATTAACCTGGATTTAAACATTGTCAGAGAAGAGGCCTGTCTCACATTTTCAGAAATATAGCAGCATGAATCTGAAATACAGCCTCCGCATGTTTAGTTCTGACTCTGGGAACAGCAGGAGTCTATCAAGGAGATTACCGGGATGACCAGGGAGCAAAAGGTCTAAAAATAAAAATAAACATCTAAAACTATAATTATTTACCTGTAATTTGAACTTCATAAGGATTGAAAAGATCCTCCAGGATTTAAAGTCGCTAAAACTGGTGAAATTTGGCTAATTAGAAAATAATCCTCACCCCTCTGCGCCTGAGAGAGCAGGTCACAGTAGCTCCTGGATTTCACATTTTTTAGGGATATTATGTTGCTTTTACCTTTGTTTTTATCGTCTTTGTATATATTGTCATGTCATGTCATTTTCTATCCCTTTATCATTCCATTTCTGGGTCAGGGGGGTGGCAATCAGAGCTGCCGCCCAAGTCTCATTGCACCAGTCCCTCGCTGATCCTCTGCAGGTGGCGGGTCCAAGTGAAGATCGCTTCTGTCATCGACGTGATGGCCTTGGTCTTTCAGTGGGGGCTTCAAGCAATGTGTCTTGCCCAGGGACACAACGACAGTGGACATCAGTGGGAGAAGATGACATGGGTTGTGGGGGGCTCAAAACCATGACCATTAGGTCCAAAGACTTGTGCTCTACCAACTGAGCTACTGTCGTCCCTGTATATATTGTATGGTTGTATATATTGTGTATTAACAGATGTGTACTATTTTCTCTGTGTTCTCTACTGTAAATGTGTATTCATTCACAGATATGTATATCCCTGAGTACTTCTATCCAGATTATTCTATTCTCACAATATTATCTTATCAGGCCTGAGCACCGAACGGGGTAAGGGCCTATTGTTTTTGCTCGAGAGATGTCAAATTCTGCACTTTGAGCCTTAATTTGACCCCCTGAGCATGCATGAAAACTTGTTAAATTTTGCCCAAAAATCAAACCTGGCCAAAAATTTGATATTTTGGTGTTTATTTTTATGGGACTCAAAAAATGCCAGAACAGCGCCACCTACAACAGCCAATTTAATACCCCTATGGGCGTTTCGGAGCCAAGAAATTGGGTACACATGTTCCTCAAGTCAAGACATGATTTTTTTTTTATTATGGCCCTGCCCTCTGACCAACAGGAAGCCCATAAATTTCACTTCAAAATGGAAAAATGAAAAATGATCCTTTTCACACATGTCGGTTGGAAAGTGACTCCTCCTCGGCCGTTTCACCGATTTACCTTAAAATCGCTCCACATCGTCTAAACACATGTACCATCATTTTGATTTCAGCGAATTTTGATCAGTGAAACGTTGTTTGTGCAGCGGAGCGCCAAAAAGTGGCATATTTTTTTTTCAGTTTTTGACAATAGATTTTTTTTTTCAGTTTGCAAAAACAAAGTCCGATTTGCACAAAACTTGAATCCATGGCTCAACTCCAGGGTTAAGGGCATATGAAAGTAAAAATTGGAAATTGGCTCATTAGCGCCACCTACAACAGCCAATTTAAAAATGCCTATGGGAGGGGTTCGAGGTCAAAATTGTCGTAGAGCCATGAAATTTGGTACACATGTTCCTCAAGTCAAGAGATGAAAACAAAGTTATTATGGCCCCGACCCCTGACAATCAGGAAGCCCATAAATTTCATTGCAAAATGGAAAAAGAAAAAGCAATCATTTTCATACAACCTCGGCTGTTTCGCCAATTCGCCTTAAAATCGCTCCACATGATCTCAACACATGAACCATCAAAATGACCTCAGGGATTTTTGATCAGTGAAACAATGTATGAGCAGCGGAGCGGCAAAACGTGACCTTTTTTTGCCATTTTTTATGATCGAAAAATAGCTTCCGATTGCACAAACAAAGTCTGATTTGCACAAAAACTTGTAGCCGTTGTTCAACTCTAGGGTCTAGGTCATGTGAAAGTGAAATATTTGAAATTGGCCCATTAGCGCCCCCTACAGACTGAGGCAAAGTTGAACCAAACCAACTCAACTGATCATATTCATTACAATTTCACAAACTTTCTTTTATGGCTACGGGACCAAATCATGGCGCGGCGGCGCCACCGCCGATAAGATAAGTTGCGTGGTTTGGCGAGGGCCGTTCGACGCCGCTTGGGGCTTTAATTATTATTCTTTTTTCTAGATTGTTACTTTATTTTTTATTGTGAAATACTATGTGAGCTACTGTGACAACGCAATTTCCCTGTGGATCAATAAAGTCTGTCTAAGTCTAAGTTAAATTCAAAAGTCTTTTTTATTCTGTAATTCAACTTACAATGTGAAACTATGACAGAGACTCATTGGCTGCCAGTTTATTTTAATTATTAACATATTAACCAGTCTTAGTTAATATGTTAATAATTAAGATAAACTTTATTGTTCTCACAAAGGAGAAATGTACATGTCACATTTGGCACAGATAGAATCACTCAGATTGTGAAAAAAAGACAGGAAGTGTGAAAACATGTATGAACACATATATTCATTCATTCATTCATTTTCACCCCTTTATTAGTCTATTTCTGGGTCGGGGGTGATAATGAGAGCTGCAGCCAATGCTCAAAGCACCAGTCCCTCTGATCCTCTGCAGGTGGGTCCACTGGAGGATGGCTTCTTGACGCAGCGTTGTTCTTTCAGCGGGGGCTTCAGGCAATTTGGGTTAAGTGTCTTGCCCAAGGACACAACAACAGAAGTCATTAGTGGGAGCAGTTAGAGTAGGTCCCATGGTGGGCTGGAAAGGCCAATGCTCTACCAACTGAGCTACTGTCGTCCCCAGAATATGTTATTTACAAACAAAAATTAAAAGTGACAATAGCAGAGCGAGTTTTTTCAGTCCTAGTGCAGGTCATTAAAGTGACTTATTGTACAGTCTGACAGCAGTGGGTATGATGGCCCTGAGGTAGAAATATAATGTAATATAATTAGGTTACCCCTTAATTGTGAAAATAATACAGTATATGATGAATTAAGTAGCTCTCAATCGGAGAGCTACTTTTATACAACAGAGAGAGACGGAGAGCTACACCTTTTTGCTGTCGTAATAAATGTCTATATTATAACTACCACAAAACATGGAGAACCCTAATGTAAAATATACCATAGTACTGTATAACCAATAGATTTTTACTAAAATAGTATGATGTAAAATTACCAACAAATATAATCATTCAAGATGATTTTTTTTTTTTTAAAGATGTCTCCATTTCTTGTTTGTCTTGTTTGTTGTAATGTATCAGCTGAGAGCTCAATGTTCTCCTCTTGATCCCGATCTCTCCACAGTATTCAGTGAATGTCCGGCAGCTCGCAGTGCGCTGTGAGGACATGGGTTGAGCGTGTTTTCAGATGACATAAGCAGCATAAGCAGGAACATGTACCATAATTATTTGTCCCTGTTTGGTCTCTGTGCAGGCGTATGAGCGCTCTGAAAGTGAGGAGGTCCCGGTCATCATCCAACTAGTCAGAAAGATCCTTATCATCATCTCCAGACCTGCTCGTCTGCTCGAGTGTCTAGTAAGAAGCTCTCAAGACGGATTTAATTCACCTGTGAATCATTAATCAATCTCATTTGCAGCGATAGATTTATTTTTAACCTATGGACTAAAACTCATAACAGATTTTTTAGAATATATGTCGCAGCAGCCGAAATTGCAGAATAAAGAAGGAAACTAGTCCTATCTCTACTTGCTCTTTGTCCTCCAATCCTTCGTCTCGTGAGTCTTCGCCAAGCCGAGACCTGTCGTTCAGCCCTGGCAGCCTGAAGCCTCCCATCATAATCCACACCTCAGGGAAGAAATGTGGATTTACTGTCCAGGCCATCCGTGTTTTCATGGGCGACAGTGACGTCTACACTGTGCATCATATGGTGTCTGTAAGAAATCATGGGGGATCTCATAACAAGCGTCAATGGAGAGTCCGTCCAAGGCCTGGTCCACACCGAGATGATAGAACTTCGGCTCAAGGTCATTTCTTGGCTAATTCTTTTGACTAGCAGCACAGTTCTGTCATTATTTTGTCTAATATTTGGAGCGGAAACAAGGTGGCCTTACAGACAGTAGCTCTGGAGAACTCTTCCATCAAAGTAGGTCCTGCTCGTAAAACAAAACACAAAGGAAAGATCAATCAATCAATCAACTTTATTTGTATGGCGCCTTTCCAACACAAGGCCACTCAAAGCGCCTCACATCCCACATAATATCAGACAAATCAGAAACATCAAAAACTACATATACAAAAAATAAATACATTAAAAACAGAATAAAATCACAAGTAATGAAAAAACCTTAAAACATTAAAAGCACACACGGGATTAAAATAATAAATAACCACAATGCATTAAAAAAAAGAGTATGCATCAATAAAATCCTTCAGCACAGCTAAAAAGAACAGTTTTTAACCCTGATTTGAAAATTGCCAGAGTAGATGCTAGCCTCACATCCTCAGGGAGATTGTTCCAGATTTTAGCTGCATAAATCTCAAACGCTGCCTCCCCATGTTTAGTTCTGACTCTTGGAACCAGTAAGAGGCTACCTCCTGCGCTCCTCAGAGTCCGGGCCGGTTAATATGGCACTAACAAGTCGCTTGAGTACTTTGGTGCGAGGCCATGGAGAGACTTGTACACAAGCAGTGCTGCTTTGAAGTCTATTCTCTGAGCCACAGGAAGCCAGTTCAGAGACCTGAGAACTGGACTAATGTGGTCATATTTCCTGGTCCTGGTCAGGACTCGAGCTGCAGCATTTTGGACATACTACAGTTGTTTTACAGCCTGTTTGGACAGACCTGTGAGCAGGCCATTGCAGTAGTCCAACCTACTGGAGACAAATCCATGGATGAGAATCTCCAGATCTGATTTAGACACTATGTTTCTAATTTTGGCAATGTTTTCCAGATGGTAAAATGCTGCTGATGTTACTGATTTGATATGACTGTAAAAATTTAATTCTGAGTCCATTATAACTCCTAGGTTCCTGACCTTGCCTACAGGTTCCAGGGAGAGAGACTGGAGGGGACGAATAACACTCTCTCTTTGTTTCTGAGGACCAAAGACAATCAATTCTGTTTTGTCTGCGTTTAGCTGAAGGAAGTTATTTTGCATCCAATCACTAATCTGTTGAATACAGTGTATGAGTGAGTCCACTGGTCCATGTTCTCCTGCAGTAAGTGAGACATAAATTTGAGTGTCATCAGCGTAATTGTGGTAGGATACATTGTTGGAGCGTATTACTTGACCTAATGGCTGTGTAAATATTGAACAGAAGAGGCCCCAGAATTGACCCCTGTGGCACTCCACAGGTCAGAGCCATATGATCTGAGACACAGTTTCCTATCTGAACCAAGTATTTCCTGTCTTCTAGGTAAGATCTAAACCAACTTAGGGCAGTCCCAGTGACACCCACCCAGTGCTCTAGTCTCTGCATGAGGATCTCATGGCCGACTATGTCGAACGCAGCACTCAGATCCAGCATTACTAAAACTGTGACTTTTCCTGTGTCGGTGTTAAGTCATTTGTAACCTTCACTAGTGCAGTCTCAGTGCTGTGATTGGCTCTGAAGCCAGACTGGAGCGCATCAAAGGAACTATTAGTTACTAAGAATTCTGTAAGTTGTTGGTAAGCAACTTTTTCCAGAATTTTTCCCATAAACGGCAGATTTGAAATGGGCCGGTAATTCTTAAGAACTGTGGCATCTAGACTCCTCTTTTTTAGGAGGGGTCTGATGACTGCCGTTTTCAGGGCCATTGGAAATGTTCCAGATGAGAGAGACATGTTCACTATTTGTGTGAGCGAAGGTAAAAGACTGCTCAAAACAGACTTAAAAAATGTAGTGGGTAGTACATCCAGGCTACATGCGGAGGAACTAAGGCTAGAGACAACATCTTGGACAGTTTCATTATCTGTTGGTGCAAAGTGCGATAGCTCAAAAAGCCTCACCGGCTGTTGTAATGTTATTTGTGCCTTGGAGGTGATGGCGTTTTTGATGCTCTGAACCTTGTCATTGAAAAATTGTGCAAACTCATTACATTTAGATTCTGAAGCAAATTCTAATGGCAGCTGAACAGGGGGGTTTGTTAATCTGTTAACTGTTGAAAACATAAGTCGTAGATTATTATTGCAGCCATCAATGGTTTTAGAAAAATAAATTTCTCTTGTTCTACGTAGCACCCTGTTAAACTTGCACAACTCATTTTTGAAGATCTCATGATCAACCTGGAGATTGGATTTTCGCCACTTCCGCTCGGCCCTACGGCACTCTCTCTTCTGTACCATGACTGAGTCCATTTTAGTCCAGGGGGCCTTTGGCTTATTTGTAATCATTTTAACCTTCACAGGAGCGATGATGTCCAGAACATTTATAACATTGGAGGTGATAGAGTTAAACAATTCGTCAACAGTAGAACACAATGTGTTCTCAAAGTTTGTCATTCCCATGAATAGTTCGGTTGTATTTTCATTTATGTGTCTGTGTCTGACAATTGCAGATTCAGATTTATATGGTTGTTTACTATCAAAACACATGTCAAAAAATACACAAAAGTGATCTGACAGAGCCACGTCAACCACATTTACATTTAAAATATTAACCCCCTTAGTAACCAGCAGGTCTAGAGTGTGCCCTTTGCTGTGGGTGGGGCCACTCACGTGCTGAGACCAAATGTTTCAAGTACAGAACTCAGCTCTTTTGCATTTTTGTCATTGCCATTATCCACATGAATATTAAAATCACCTGTAATCACTAAACTATCAAAATCGGTGCAAACAACTGAAAGCAACTCAGTGAAATTATCAATTAAATTGTGACATGACTGCGGTGGCTTGTACAGGACAATGATAAGAATAGAAGGAGATTGTTTTTGTTCTATTTTAAAAGAAATATACTCAAATGATAGAACATTTCCAAGGAGAATTCTATGAGAGATGATCTCTAAATCATGCAGCAATGACTCTCCCCCTTTTATTTTCTCGTATTTCAGATTCAAATTTGAAGTTTGGTGGCGTTGCTTCTATTAAAACCGCATTACCTGTACTCAGGTCAAGCCAAGTTTCAGTCAGAAACATAAAATCAAGATCATAAGAACGGATAAAATTATTAATTAAAAATGATTTGTTGCACAGTGATCTGACATTAAGCATAGCAATTTTAAGATTAATATCAGTAACAGTGGGTTTAGTTAATTGATTTTCACAAGGAGCAGAAAAGAAAGATGGCTCGGAGAAGCAAGAGGAGAGACAACTATGACCGGTTAGCAAACACTCATGTGATGAAGTGAGTTCTCTTATCTTCCAACAAAGGTCTTCATGTGTTGTACAAGTTTTGAAAAATGACTCCTTGGCATTACTATTATTATATTCACACCTGCAGATTGAACAATAATGTGATGCCTTTTCTGTGTGGCAGAGTGGAGGCTGCTACGCGCTCCGAAAATAATGACAAATTAAATAAAAGAAAGAGACCAGCAACGCCAGGGCAGAGTGCCCAAAATAAAATAAAAAGTGCTCTAAGGCGCACAAGTTCGTTAAATCATTAAAAGGCATAGGCAGACAGTCTGTATACTTTGATTTATTATTCTACATAATGTTTAGTTCATTTATAGTCATTCACTAGGTTGTTATGATTCACATCTACTTCACACGAGCCCATCTTCCAGTCACGATGGACTCAGGAGCACAGGTGAACAGGGAGAGAAACGAGGGACAGCAGGAGAAACAGCGGTGGGCCGCGATGTGGCCAGTCCTCCAGCCTATGGGTAAAATAGAGTTAACTTACAAGTAACCACAATGCTGTTAGTGTGTGCAGCTAGAACCTACTTTCATACAGCAATTGCCGAGCACACACCCTTGACGGGTGACGGTTTAAAGGCCAGACCCACAGCCGGCCACGACACTCGGACCCCAACGAGGGTGGCCAGACGCCAAAGTGACAGAACAGCATGGCTACACAGAAGCAGGGTTCGCGGGGCACAATGCCGCACCGCGGCACTACAACAATTGTTAACATTAGCGGTTGCAACATACCAATATTAGAATTAACACTGTGCAACTTCACTACCTGGAGGAGGAGAAGGGCTGGCACGACGACACACAGGAGACGGAAGTGCAGAGGTAAACAAAAGACGTAAATCTAGGCTATTTATACTGCGCATAGGCGCCCTCTACTGGACAGAAATATGGTGGCCAAGTCCAGCTTGCCACATCTGGTAACCACAATTGCAACACATCATTTCTGTTTGTATTTCACAACATGTACGCACAAATAACTCCAAAGTATAGTTTTGTAATAATACAGTAAATTTGTTGGAGCCATATGTGGGATGTTTGCTTGGAAAAGCTTTTGAACTTCTTTAATAGTCTTTAATAAACGTACAAATCATTTTACAAGTAAACCTTGCAATAAAAAACCATCTGCATTTCCATGGTCACATGATCACTGGAATTGAATGCCCCCTCCCACCCCAGACTCTCCTTTTGCACTTAAGGTCTGTTTGGTTCACTAATAATAACACATTTATTTTTTATTATTAATAGTTTTTGTGACTCTGTGAAAGGCGCTTTATAAAGATACAGCGCTTTTTCAGGACACATGCTTCTTCACATGCCATTGTTTTTTCACTACATAAAGTACAAGGTCGCGATTAACTATTGTTGTAGCCACAGCTGCCCTGGGGCACACTAACAGAAGCAAGGCAACTAATATGTGCCAACAGCCCCTCCCACCACCCCCACCAACCATTCACACACACACCAGACTCATTCTAATGTGGGTGAAGTGTCTTGCCTAAGGACACAGCCACAGTTTGGCACTTTCAACCGCAGCCGGTTCCCAGAGGTCTCCCATCACAGCACTAACCAGGCCCTGCCCTGCACAGTTTCAGAGGTCTGACAGGATATAGCTTTAGCATGCAAGTTTGTCCACGTTGGTTTAAGCAGTCAAACTACCTCAGACTTTTGGTAAGACTCATGGTTCAGGAAGTTATTGAGCAAAATGTTTTCCCAAGTGTCATACTTAGTATGTGATTTTAGATCAAAGTGTTTATTTTTTACAAAGCTTTTCTTTCTCTTTCCCAGAAAACCACTCTCCTCAAAGCACATCTCCGTGCTCTAGTTCTCCAAGTTCTCCAGTGACGCACATCCGTCCAAGTTCCCTCCACGGCCTGAGCTCCAAGATGAGCACACAGAGATACACTAAAGTGGGCCGTCGGAAGTCTACAAGCAACATTCCTCCTTCTCCTCTGGCTTGCAACTCCTCGTCTTCCACGCAGCCGTTGTCCCCACAGCGTTCGCCGTCTCCGTTGCCCGGCTTTGCCAAATCTTTCCACGCCTACCACGGTAAAACTCTCTCCCCGCCGACCATAGTTCGACATGTGCGGCCTCGAAGCGCAGAACCTCCTCAAACTGAACTTCCGGACGAATCCGGTTTCCGGGACGAATATGGGAGTGACAGTCAGTGGCTGTGTCCAAAACGCTAGGCATCGGGCCGCGTAGGGTGGATATGTAGGCATCGAGGGAAGGCCGCGTAGCTACAGGCGAGGTAGGAGGCGAGACGTGATGTGGATTTGGACAGCAGCTGCCTTCTGCCTTCGTCACGTGACTACACAACTCAGAGCGGAGCGGAAGGACACGGCGGCCATGATGGACGGTAAAAAGTTCTAAATACGCTTTAATTAGGACATAAAAGTTAATTCTAATATCATTTGAGGCAAGAAATATCCCCCTTTATTGTCATATCAGAAGTCTGTTTGGAGATAAATTCGAAAATTTTCGGACTTTACCTCCAGCCTGAAGCTCCGGTGCTATAAGCTAACAGCCCAGTTAGCTGCAGTGCTGAAGCCCAGAACAGGCTGTCTAAACACGGGTTCAGGTAATGAGAGCCCCCTGGATGTTTACAATCGTATTCTGAAAAAACAGAGGATGCTTTTGTAGTTACACTTTCTCTGTTATAACAATTGTATTGGCAGTAATCATTAGTTTTTACAAAGTTATATTTTATGTAAACAATGCACATATATGCAATAAATGATTATTAGATATGGATTATATATTTGCTATGGCCCTCGTTTGTGCATCACTTAAAAGTAATTTTATCAGAACTAAATGTATTAACGTGTGTTTGCTGATGAGAGAGAAACATCCATTTATCTATAATAATAACTGACACATCCATTTATCTATAATAATAACTGGAACATCCATTTATCTATAATAATAATAATAACCGGAACATCCATTTATCTATAATAATAATAATAACCGGAACATCCATGGATCTATAATAATAATAACTGACACATCCATGGAAACAGACATTAACAGACATCTGTAAAATGGAGTTGAACACAGATGTTTGACACTGCTCTTATTCACTTTTATGTCTCTTGAAAAGCTAACAGACCGTTACTAATCACATTTGAGTTTAATGTATTCAATTATAAGTATAAGTATAAGTACTGCTGACAAATATGTAGTTGTGTAAATAATACCTCACTTTGATGACTCTTTACATTTCACACAAACAACAAAATCATAATAAAACCAACATTTTTTGTTTTCTTTATTTCCAGGTTCTCTGTGAAGTGCTGTCGATGAGACCTGTGTCAGAGGCAGACGCCCAGGACTCTGCTGCTCCTGCTGCTGTTGCTCCTGCTGCTGTTGCTCCTGCTGCTGTTGCTCCTGCTGCTGTTGCTCCTTCTGCTGTTGCTCCTGCTGCTGTTGCTCCTGCTGCTGTTGCTCCTGCTGCTGTTGCCCCTTCTGCTGCTGCTGTTACTCCTCCTGTTGCTCCTTCTGCTGCTGCTGTTACTCCTCCTGTTGCTCCTGCTGCTGTTACTCCTCCTGTTGCCCCTTCTGCTGCTGCTGTTACTCCTCCTGTTGCTCCTTCTGCTGCTGCTGTTACTCCTCCTGTTGCTCCTTCTGCTGCTGCTGTTACTCCTCCTGTTGCTCCTTCTGCTGCTGCTGTTACTCCTCCTGTTGCTCCTTCTGCTGCTGCTCCTTCTGCTACATGTCTTCAGAGATGCAGAGCCCACTGTTCTAACTATTCATGATTGCTGATTAAAGGAAAATATTATATACAAGTTTGTTGTAGTTCATAATGTTTTCAGCAGTGAAGCAGGAGGTGATGGAGGTGAAGCAGGAGGTGATGGAGGTGAAGCAGGACGTGAAGCTGGAGAAATTATGACCTTAATTTCACCACAAGTCTCTGAAAAAGAAGAACACAAACATCATGCATTAAAACACAGCCCACATTTAGGATTCTTTTTACACTTCATATTCAATTAATACTATTTATTTGGGGCTTTGCAAAAAACTGGTTAAAAATAAAATACAGAAATCCTTACAGTATTTAATATTAGAGATGCAAGCTTCACAGCAGGGGAAACAGAAGAATGATATGATAGAAATATACACAAATAATCAAGTTATGAGCATGGCTAACCACTTTAAACCTGTGTTTGTGGAAGTGGGACTTTGTCCTCTGCAAATGTCTTATTAATGACAAACGAAACCTCTGTATAATGTGTGTTTACTATTTATTAGACTATTGTATGAAAAGGGCTTTATAATTATTCTTGGCCTATAATTTCATATGTCTAATATATACAGTTTTCCCAGTCTCAGTATGGGATTAAAAACGATATGCACAATCTATTTTATATGAATACAGAAAACATGTGTTAGCATACTATAGCTGCTGTGCTGCAGAGTGATTTTCCATGAAAACGTGACTATTTCCTCAGTGTAGCTTTAATATTTAATCAGTGGGTTTGTTTCTCCCTAAAAGATAAAACACAACATGATTTTTCTTGTTCAAAAACCGAATCTGAATGAACTAGCCTCGTAGCATTACCTTTTCGGGACTGAGCTTATTTACAGCAGATAACAAGGTCTGTGGCAGATCTAATTTATGTCTGTGTTTTATCATAACAGTCGTGTTCATAACTCAACAGTAAAGTATAGCAGTACTTACTATCAGGGCTGGACTGGGACAAAAAAACGGCCCGGGCATTTTTTCCTTTTTGGCGGCCCAGGCAACTCAAAAGGTTCAAGGAGCCCTATTTGACAAAAAAAAAAAATAACAGCGTTGTATAAGGCTTATATGAAGGTAACTATGGGGTGCCGATTGTAAAAATTCTGTTAAAATTTTTTAGCTGAACATTTTTCTACATTTAGCTCACTTTCCTCACATTTAGCACATTTTCCTCACATTTAAGACATATCTATATCTAAATATTATATCTATATCTAAATGTTAAATCTAAATGTTAAATCTAAATCTAAATGTTATATCTATATCTAAATATTATATCTATATCTAAATGTTAAATGTTATATCTAAATATTATATCTATATCTAAATGTTATATCTATATCTAAATGTTAAATCTAAATGTTAAATCTAAATGTTAAATCTAAATGTTAAATCTAAATGTTAAATCTAAATGTGTCGCCAAGTGTAAAGCTAAATATATAGAAACTGCAGTGGCTTCAAATCCAGTGGGCCCGCCTTCCGTGCCGTGTGGTGAGTGGGGGCGGTGCCGCGTGTTTTGAACATAGGAATACACGTGGACTAGGGTTTAATATTTTTCCCGAAAATGAGACGTATCAAATCCCGGGAAAAGATGACGCCTTTCCCGGGAAATCCCGGGAAATAGCTGTTGTTTGTAGTTGTTGTTTTTAGCCCAAGTAATGTATGATATCACTCAAATATTTAATCCAACAAAAGCTGCCGTCTCCACTAGTGTTTCACCGAGCGACGTGCTTTTCTAAAGTAGCCATAGCGTTTTCAGACGTTTTGTTGATGGGCTTTCTTCAGGAATTTCACTATTATGAGATTGTAAATGTCTGTAATCCACTTGTCGACCAGTGACGTGTGGTTTGGAGGCACTGACTTCAGCCCTGTCAGATGAACATATATCATATAAATCAACAGAACCTGCAGAGCGGCTTATTCACAATTAGTTTGGCTACAGCAGAATGTTTTCCATGGCCCGCATTGTTTGCTCAAACAAAACGCAAAAGTTCGTAAAAGGCACATTTCCAATTGTGTTATGGGTCTTACCTTAGTTATTAATGAACAGCACAGACCACTTCGGTTCAGACCAGTTTCATGTTTAAGTCCAGATAATAGTTTGAGCGCAGATATGTAATCCCCCATTTGGAAATAAGCCCAAAAAGTTTTAAAGCGTAAAACAAAACTGGTGCCACCTCCATAAACTCCTCTGTGTTCGCTGCAGCCGACTCTCGGGCGCATCCAATTTCTAATATCAACCTTCTTACCCTTCTCCTCTCTTCCTTATCATTCCTATCGTCATTGTAAGCAGAACATTACCCTAAATGCATTTTATATGATCTTCAAATGTGTTATATGTATGTTAGCCAAACCTGTTGCTGCCCTTAGCAGATGGAAAAAAAGAAAGGAGCTTTCTGATAGAATTGGACGTAACCAAATTCTGGGCTCACATGTGCCCCGTACCCTGAGCCTGGCCTCATTACAAGTCGTGGTTTAGCGCGATTAAGACCCATATTTGTTGTCAAAAACACAATTTATGAGCCATCCTCTCAGCTGTAGACATGTTGATTGTAAATGAAATATGTTTGAACTTTGAACAACAATACACGTGCTTTATAATAGGAGCGCACTGTATTTTTTTTTTTACTTTCATTTCCCGTTTCCCGTCATAACATTTCCCGGGAATCGGGAAATAGTTTTCATCAGATTTCCCGGGAATCCCGTATCCCGGGATTAAACCCTAACGTGGACCGACGTCACGGCTCAAGGCATGTTGGGTCTCCGGCGCCATCGTCCTTGGCCACGGCACAAAATTAGCATTTTTGTGAAGATTCTTGCTTATTTGCTGGAGCCAGAGTGTATTCACTGTAAACTAAGCCACGTGGAGTCCCGTGAGATTCCTGTGTAATCCTGTAGGGTTCTCACCACACGGCACGGAAGGCGGGCCCACTGGATTTGAAGCCACTGCAGTGGGCGTGGTTTCTATATATTTAGCTTTACACTTGGCGACACATTTAGATTTAACATTTAGATTTAACATTTAGATTTAACATTTAGATTTAACATTTAGATTTAACATTTAGATATAGATATAACATTTAGATATAGATATAATATTTAGATATAACATTTAACATTTTGATATAGATATAATATTTAGATATAGATATAACATTTAGATATAGATATAACATTTAGATTTAACATTTAGATATAGATATAACATTTAGATATAGATATAATATTTAGATATAACATTTAACATTTAGATATAGATATAATATTTAGATATAGATATGTCTTAAATGTGAGGAAAATGTGCTAAATGTGAGGAAAGTGAGCTAAATGTAGAAAAATGTTCAGCTAAAAAATTTTAACAGAATTTTTACAATCGGCACCCCATAGGTAACAGGGGCTGAAGCTGTATTAGCTACATTAGCTATATTAGCTATATTAGACTAATATCTAAATGACAAAGTAAAGGCTAAACACATAAAAACCATTCATGATTATCAAATGTGTATTTTCATTGCAGCGTGTCCTGGAGAGAATGACGCACCACGTGGCAACTCTGCTTTAAGTTTAACTTCCATTTTTTTGCCTTCATCCAATTGTACAAATACAGTAAATAAATCTGCTTTTTGGCTCCGAGTTCACCTGCATCACTGTCTGTTCATATCCATCACAGGCTGAAGTTTGCTGGAGCTGAATGTCCTTAATGGCCTTTTCTTTCACCGTCTTTGCGAAGGTATTTGAAGTCTGAAAATAGGTGCTCTGACTTTATGATGAATGAATCTTTCAGTGAACAGTGTTTAAAGCTTCATTGTTCCTCGTGTTGCAACAAAACTTTTCATTACATCGCAAACATGAAGCAGTCCTTCCTCATTGACTGAAAGCAAATATTCATTCTCATTCTTAGTCCAGTCTTATTGACTCTCTCTCTTTATCTTTGGGATCCATGCGCACACACAGTCTGTAATGCAAACGCCGCCTGGCACTTTAGGGACACTAAAGGTTGCCGACCCCTGGTTTATACAGTATGTGGAAGAATATACTGTAGAGGATCAGGATCTCTCCAGTTTCAACAATAAAATAAAGTACAATAGTCTACATTATACAGAGTAATAAACATGTCTCAGAGTGAGGGAGGTGGGCACAGACAATATTGTTTGTTACAGGGATGAGAATTGGTAAAAAATTCTGAAATGCATATTGTCAGTCATTAGCTGGCTCTAAATCCGTTTAATCTGTTCACAACATTTTACTTTTGGGCTCAAACATGAACTTTTAATGCAATGGAAAATTTAGGTATCCGAGCTTTAATTTAGAGGAGAGGGGAGACGCGGACTGTTTTCTGCAGCGGTGTATTTATTGGGTGCACAAATTACGCAAAGACACGCATGCATGGTCCTGTGCGCGTTTATGGTCTTGGGTACATGGTCACGTTGCGGCTACGCGCTCACCGTGTTGTGTTGTGAGCGGTTCCTGCGTCCAGCTCAGAGCCGCTGGATGCGGGAACACTGCGGCCGCTGAGGTGGTGGAATCCCGTTAAAGTACATACAGCAGGTGCCCCGCGGACACGCGCGCTCCCCTTGAACATTTCTCAACGGATTTACACTTTTCACAAACATGTGTTTTGTATGTGGCAGACAGACCGGCCCAAATATGGGCATCGGCCCTTCGGGCATTGCCCGGTACGCCCGATGGCCAGTCCAGCCCTGCTTATAGACATAACTTCACAGTAAAGTATAGCAGTGCTTACCATAATGTTAGCTCCAGCAGCTCCGAGCTGAGTCTGTTTACATGTTAATGCCGAACGGAGTTCTGCGCATGCGCGGCCGTGACTTGGCAAAAAGAAGGCAACGAAGCATACATCAGATGCATCCTTCATATCTGCTCCAAAAGTGGCCGTTTCCATGGAGACGAAGTCATGATGCCTACGCTTGGCGAGCTCGCCAAGTGGTTTTGGACACCCCTGCAATAGCCGTTGCTTGAGGAAGTGACGTCACGATGCCTACATATCCACCCTACGCGGCCCGATGCCTAGCGTTTTGGACACAGCCAGTGTTGTTGTCACTCCTGTATTCGTCCCGGAAACCGGATTCATCCGGAAGTTAAGTTTGATCCAATGAGCAACCGCAGCAGTAGATTACGTCATGGAATCTGGACGGAAGCGGAAGTAAATATGACAAACTACCTATTCATGCCTTAACCAGCCATTCCCATAAAATAACCCCAACCCAGCCTTAACCATCTTAATCAGACGCCTAAAACTTAACCAGTCACCACTTAAGGACTTATTAGTTTAAAACTAATTCGAAAGTAGGATTGTTACTTCCGGTTTCGTCCCGATTCCGTATATGATCTAGTGCCGACCCTAAAATCATCCAGAAACTGAGAAATCTGTTGTCTGGGGTAAGTTTTAATCTAACTCGATTAGCTGTAAAGATCAATAATATTTTGCAGATTGTGGTTTGCGGATGTTGCTGAAAAAGAAAATTAGATAAACATGTGGCGCTGTGAGCTAACCTCAATGTGTGTTTTTGTGTTTTCAGCAAAATCTACAAGGAAAACTTCAGCTGCGATATGAAGAGATAGCCAAGCGGTACGCTCCATAATATTTATCCTTTAATGATTTTTTGTGTGAATTTCTTTTCCAGAGGCAGCTGTCTTTCAGAGGCCATCATTTCTTCATCCATTTCCATCACCTCCAGCTTCTGTGGATTACAATACAAACTACAACGACCAATATGTTCATTTGTTTTATTAATTACAAGTCATGGATAGTTAGAACACATCCCTCATTTTCTGAAGACATATGCAGCAGCAACAGTAACAACAGCAGGTGCCTGGACGTCTGCCTCTGACTGTCTTTTCTACGGTGGACTCATCACAACCTGGAATAAAATACATTTTTTATGATTTAGTTCTTTGTGTGCAATGAAAAGTGATGTATGCGTTTGTTTTACCCAACCACACAATCCGTGAGAAACATTTCATAGCTTTTATTAAAGTACTTCTAATCTTAAATACATTTAAGCCATTAACTCTGACATGATCAGGTCTGTTGGATTTCAAGAGGCAAGGAGCTTGTGCTCAAAAAGTAAGTACTCATGACCTTAAATCTGGTCTGTAAGTTCAAGTCCACGCGTCTTCTGTGTCCAGCTTCATGTTCACAGATGTCCCCCTGTCATCAGTAAATGCACATTATCACATTTTTACTTAATACAAATTACTTTACAACTAAGTTATGCACAAACGAGGGCCATAGCAAATCCATCAATCGCACTAAACACATGCATTATTTACATGAAATATCACATTTTTAAGACTAATGATTACTCTTAAAACAATTGCTATAACAGAGAAAGTATGATACAAAAGCTGCCTTTTTGGGTTTTCATAATTACTTCCACAATTAAGACTGTTAGCATAAGGGAGCTCTCAAAATGACTCCCAGCGCATGACGCTCCATTCTGGGCATCAGCGCAGCTCTACACCCGTGGTTAGCGTGTTAGCATTGGAGCTCAAGGCTGGAGAAAAAGTCCAAAGAAAATCTGTTTAATCACCAAACAGACCTCTGATATAACAATAGAAGGGGCTATTTCCCACCTCCAATGTTAATACCATTAAATGTTATGTCCTAATTAAAACGTAAATTCAACATTTACCTTTACCTTGTCATGGCCGCTCCTCTCTCCGCGATCCATGCTACAGCGGGACGCTCACATACAACAGCACGGCCTGATAATAGTGTGCAGCGTCCGAATCGCCATCAGAATGAGTCCACTCACTCAGTCTCTCACTCACAATAGTCCCGCACGGTATAGTGTGGACATTCGGATAAAGCCAAAGTCGTGTTCTGGCCCTGGCTATATCTATTGAGGATTGGCGGATCGATTGCTTCTGTCTTGATTTACCCGGAAATAAAGCATGACATTTCAAGCAGCGAAAAAAAAATGCTACAAATTTTTGGACACTGAATTTTTTTCAACATTGAATTCTTTGACACTGAATTTGAAAACATTGAATATTTTGACACTCAATTTTAAAACATCGAATTTATTTACACTGAATACGTTTTTGTTAAAGTTTATAGAATTCAAAAGCAAAAAAAAAGTGCAAAACAGCGCCGCACCGCAACCAGTGAGGGCGGGTCCCAGCTCAAAAGTGGCCAAAATGACGTGCGCTGCCGGGCCGATGGGGGTGGACCCAGAAGAAGAATTAGCCAATGCTAACATATAGCGTTGGCAGACCTTTCAAAAACGTCTTTACAGGATGGACCAAAAGTTGGCTCTTGGTAAAGCTCCGTTCCACATGTGTGTCAATGCTGAGGGGGGTGAATTTTTTTTGTCCACTCTAGCTTACTCGCTGTGAATTTTTGAAGTTTCTCGTTCAAATGAATGGAGCTGTGCCGGCTGACGCATGCACAGATGCGTTTTTTCACAATTTTCTTGTGGGCGGGACCACTCGCGGCCATCTTCGATTGCTCCATGAAAGCATGGCCAACTCCTATGAACGGCGGAGATAGGCGTGACTCTGTCCGTCTATGACCGCAACACAGAGTCGGGGTGCGTTCACAGACGGTCGAAACCGTAGGAATTTTTAGATTTTGGCGGAAAAAGTGCGAGAATACAGGAGAGAAAAGAGAAAGGTTGAAAAAGAGAAAACAGATTCCAACGTTCATAGTGATGATTCATGACACATAAAATGAACTAATTCACGTTTAGGTTCTTTTTTTAAAAATGTGTTGCGTTCAGTTCAACGTTCACAAAAAAATGAGCGTGTTCAATGAATGTGTTCTTTTGAACTCGTTCACGCACAACACTGGCACTAGAATACACAGTACCTTATTTCTGCCTCTTATTTTTTTAAATTTGAATTAGTATAGCTATTGTTCACTTAAAGCGAGACTAAGGCTGAGTTTACACGGAGACAATGTGGCAGTAAAACGGTATAGTTGGATGTCGGTTGCTACCAACCGTTCATACGGAGACTGTGTTTCAGGGGGGTGAAAACGTAAGTGTTTAGATCCAGCCTGCAGAGTGGGACAAGGGCAACTCAGGCTGAGTTTACACGGAGACAATGTGGCAGTAAAACGGTATAGTTGGATGTCGGTTCCTACCAACCGTTCATACGAAGACAGTGTTCCAGGGGGGTGAAAACGTAAGTGTTCAGATCCAGCCTGCAGAGTGGGACAACTCAGAAACGCTGCACAGCAGGGAGCTTTTTCACACCCGCGAGAGGGAGAAAGGTGTGAAATCCCCCTCTGCTCTGACCCCCACCTCCTGCTGCTCCCGCACGTAAATTTGGACATGCGCAGTAGCGGAGAACAAACAAAAACAATAATGGCGCCGCCCACACAAACTAGCTACGTGGGCTTCCAGCGCGGGACAGAGGATAATTCTACACCTTCGTTCGTCCAAACGAGACCACGCGAAGCTCTAGGTTCAGTTCCCATTTTCCCAGATGCTATTAAAATGCAGAATGATGTTGGTGCGTTCTGAGGGTCTGGCACAGGAAGTGAGTATACTACCGAGAGGGGGGCTGGGCACGGGGCTGGGGGGTCGTGTGAGTGTTGTAAAGTTTATCTGCCCACTACTGGCCGGGCGCTAGAACTACATCGTTTTTCAACCTCATGTGAACGCAGAGAAATTTGCATTAGGAGCCAGGTCGTTTCTGTTAATAGCCTGGAAACGTCTGCGCAGCGTCTCAGTATAAACAGGGCCTCAGAAACACTGCACAGCGGGGGCTCTCTCTCACACGCGAGGGAAAAAGGTGTGAAATCCCCCTCTGCTCTGACCCCCACCTCAGCGCTGCTCCCCGCACGTAAATTTGGACATGCGCAGTAGCGGAGAACAAACAAAAACAACAATGGCGCCGCGCGCACTAACTAGCTTCGTGGGCTTTCAGCGCGGCACAGAGGATAATTCTACTCCTTCGTTCGTCCAAACGAGACCACGCGTTTCAAATGTGAGCGCTGCCCTCTCTCCTTCTGCTCCCCTCCCCGCACTCACGAAGCTATCGCCCCCCTCTACCCCCACAATGGAGCTCATTGCTGTGTGAAAAACTGCTCCAGTACCTCACACAATAAGAAAGGAAAACGTAGGAACAACGGTTTACAATTGTTTAGGCCACCAAAATGGATACAACAACAGGGAGCGCAAGTGTCTGACCTGACGAAGAGACGCCGGATGGCTTGGTTGGCTGCAATAAGAAGAAAGGACCTTACTTTCAATCTCACCCCCCAGTCGATGAGAGTGTGTTCTCTGCATTTTCACTCGGGTACGTCCTAAAATGTCTTTATGTTGTTTTTTTAAAGTTAAGAAGTGTAGGTTACCTAGCTGTTAATGTTGCAAACACTGAAGTGCATCTTAAGTTAGCTGCCTAGCTAACTATCTAACAAACTGTTGCCTCTATGAAAATGCTTAATGGCCAACCATTAATGCTAACTAAGAATATTTAAGTTTCTGCTCATTATCCTACCTTGTTGGTGGAATATGGGCACTCAAAGTGTGTTTGTCATTTTTGCCACTCCGCTGCAGGAAGCTCGTATGGGTCTAGCTTACCTGTTGTATGTCTGAGAGCTTCTCCAAATAACGTTGTTTTGCTTTTCCCTGTACGGTCCATTTCCTTTCGCCTTCACTTTCTCCATTAACTGTCTTGCTAGTGTTGTAATCGTATATGTATCTACTGCCGAAATAATAAACGGCCGCTCAAGTTAAAGACCTCTGGAGCGTTAGCATAGACTGTAGCTATATATTGAGCGTTAGTGGCGTTGCCCCTGGCAACCGATAGAGGATCCTATCAACATGGCCGACCGGATTAGACCCCGCCCAAATTATCACGTGACTCCTCATTCTCAATACCCACACTGCACCCTACGCCCTCCTATGAAGTGTGCATTTGTTTGAAGTGCGCGCAAGGGTTTGAGTGCGCAGGTTGCAAGCGTGCACAAAAGGTGGAATTGGGACATTGCACACTGAGTGCAGTTTACGTCATCGACTCGTCAAGAGATGGTCATTTTCAGACCTAAACTTTATAAAAATTAAAGGTAATTTTGTCTGACCCTTTGGGAAACAATATGAATTGCTTCACACACGTTATAATACATTTATATTAGTTGTTTTTAATTAGAGATAGCTGTATAATTTTAAGTTAAATGTGGGTAACTAACTATCTGGTCAGTTTTTATACATTCTAAGATTATTGTACTAAGTGTAAAGTTTAAATTGAATGTTATATAAACGCTTGCTTTAAAAAGTTATTAAATTGTTAAAGCACAATGTCCGTAATTCTTCATCAGACGTTTATGCTTCTTTCCAAGTAACATAGCAAAACTTATTTACACACATACTGTATATATATTTCACAATTTATATTTAATTACATTTTCCCGTCGTTTCGGTGTGTACCGCAAAGAATTATGGGCAATATCCTTCGCCAGAGTGCGCATAGATGCAGGCTACGGCGAAGTGTGGATCAGGGGCGCAAAGGGGGCGGGGCCAAATACCTCCCTGGAGAATTGGGACACCCTACGCACTCGCACCCTTTATCGGGAACGCGCAAATGAGGGGCGCGAGGGTGGAAGTGCGAGTATTGGGACGGGGCCTACGATAGAACCGGGAAGTGCGGAGGAAGTAGGCCCAGTCCCAATACCCACACTGCACCCTACACACCTCTACGAAGTGTGCATTTGTTCGAAGTGCACACCAGGGTTGGAGTGCGCAGGTTACACGTGTGCAAAAAAGGCGGAATTGGGACAGTGCACACTGAGTGCAGGTTACGTCATCGACTCGTCAAGAGATGGTCATTTTCAGACCTAAACTTTATAAACATTAAAGGAAATTTTGTCTGACCCTTTGGGAAACAAAATGAAGTATAAATTAGCATGCTTTTAATTTTAGCGTCCGCCAAAGCTATTTTCTCACGGAACATCTCTGATGTTCATATATTACAGCATTTCCCGCAGCAATAAAACAAACATATAGAAAGACAGAAATGCTGATGCGCATGCGCAGGCTTGGTAACGACACACACCACGACCATCGGCGGAGCGTACGGCGCACACCACACACGCACACACATGCGCGCGCGCTACTGGGGGAAGCAAAAGCAAGGCAGCGAGCTCCAGGAGCCGCCGCGGTGGAGGAGGACCATGAAAGGACTCTCAAAGTGTTTGTACCGTGCCATACCCTCCAAAAGTACTCACTCTAGTCGAGATGAGTGAAAAAGAAATAATGTTTACAGATGCTACTCTTTTTTTGTTTTTGGTGTTTTGGCTATTGTTCAATAAATATCTAAAAAAAAATTAACCTTTATCTGACTGACAGTTTAACTCAAAAAAGAAGATAAGCTTGATTAATCTCACACAGGAGAAATTTACATGTCACATTTGCAGGGATAAAAACAACTCAAGATTGTGCAAAAAATAAGAAATGAAAAACATGTTAATGCAGGAAATATAAAATTGCATGAACTGCAGTATGTTTAATTGAAAATAGCTTCTATATAGTCAAGCTAACTTTTGGACAGAATTTTGTAACTTAGCTTGTGAAGAAAGATGAACAAAAGTCCTGTGATCGCGTCCTTTCATTCAGACCAGAAAAGACATGTTTTAATTGCAATTGGTAGAGACAGCACGATCAAAGATACAACAGAATGCAAGTTGTATTAACAGAGCGAAGGCATGGAGACCTCCAATCAGCACTGCATTCCACGGTGTGCTTGTAGCCATTGGCCTTCAGATAGACAAAACAAGGGAAAGTACTTGCTTCTGCACATTGATAGAATGATGAGTTTAACTTAACAAAAAGTTTGCTTCAAAGTGTTACTGGAGAATCTCACATTACCCCCCTCTGGTCATACATTCACGTGTGCACCATTCAGGATCGAAAAACAGCACCCATAACATCAAACTCAATACTTAAACTCGGTACTTCAACTCGGTACTTCAAACAACTCAGAAACTCGGAATACTTCAACAAAACTCAGGAAAACTCATAACACATTTTCAGGATCTTTCATAAAAACTTGTCAAACAGATCATCTCAGATAAAATGACCAAACCTCATCCGGCGATGGTTTCTCACAGATATCTGCTTTAGAAAAACAGTCTTCGTCCCACTTCTCCTCGAGTTGGTTTTCTTCAGGCTGATTCTTCAGGCTGCATTTGTGTCAAGCCATGAATTCTTCTGTGACGTGTCTTTGAATCACACGTTTCAGCTTCAGTGTCCAGATTCAGCAATCCAATTCATGTCCAAATTCAGAAATCCAGATTGTTCCAAATTATGTCCAAATTGTGTAATCCAATTGTTCCAAATGGTGTCCATGCAAAAGAGGACGCTGTCCATGTCTCAGCAGCTCACAGCCTGACTGGAATCAGGGGCTGTGCAGATAGTCCAAGTGTGCTGGTCCAGATGCATGGTTTCTCTTGAGGTTTCTCAGTTTTGGCTTAAAAAAACACTTTTTGTGTAAAAAAAAAAAAAAGTCTTCTGTTCTCTAGATGTTACAGACAAGGCCCGCATCCTTCCACCACCTGAAGATGGCATAGTCTGGGATCGCGTCTTTCATTCAGACAGAAGACATGTTTTATTGTCGATGGTAGAGACAGCACGAACAAAGCACACGATCACAGATACAACAGAATGCAAGTGTATTATACAGAGCGGAGGCATGGAGACCTCCAATCAGCAGCTTCCACGGTGTGCTTGTAGCTTGGCCTTCAGATAGACAAAACAAGGGAAAAGTACTGGCTTCTGCACATTGATAGAATGATGAGTTTAACTTTAACAAAAGTTGCTTCAAAGTGTTATGAAATCTCACAAATAGTTGTAAGTTTTTTTCTCGTACTTATGTTTAGCAGCTCTGAGACTGCTGGAGGGAGGTTAAGATTTATGTTTTTGTATACGGAGTTAATTGAAGATTGTAACTGTAGGTATTCTAAGTATTGTGTGCTCCTGATGCCAAACTTCTGGACCAGGGAGGGAAATGAAACCAGTGCGTTGCCCTGAAAGATGTGCTGCAGGTGCGTGATGCCTCTCTCTGCCCATGTGCCGAAGTGAAAAGGTTTTTTGTTGATTAGCAGGTCGGGATTATTCCAGATGGGTGTGAGACCAGATGATGATAGAGTGCAGTTAGTAATTTTCTGAAATTTCCACCAGGCCATCAGAGTTGAGTATATTGTTGAGGTTTTGAAGCATGGGGAGCGTTTGATTGAATTACTAAGAAAGGGTAAGTCTGAAATTTGGATATTATGACAAAATGCTTCTTCTATATCCCGCCAAGTGTTGTCTGACGTGTTGTCCATTTGTAAATATATTGCAACTGTATTGCTAAAGAATAATTAAGAAAGTTTGGTGCAGCTAGTCCTCCTTGTGGTTTAGATTTTTGCAAGGTGGAGAGTTTGATTCTAGGTGTTTTATTTTTCCAGTAAAATGATGTGATAATTGAGTCAAGAGATTTAAACCATGATTGAGTGGGCGGTGTTGGTATCATGGAGAAAGGGTAGTTAATTTTAGGAAGAATAGACATTTTTATTACAGCAATACGGCCAATGAGAGATAGTGGAAGATCAGTCCAATGGTTGAGATTGTCTGTTAATGTTTTGATGATTGGAGTGAAATTTAAGTGTAACAACTCTGATGGCCTGGATGAGATGTTGATACCAAGATTTGTTATATGAGCTGTGCTAATAGGGATAGGAGGGGTATGGGCTGTCACATCCCAACCATCGCCCACTGGGAGAATAATGGATTTTGAAAGTTGATGCTGTGAAAGCGTTTTTAAAAGGCGGCCTGAACTTCGTAGACCTGTTGGCGATCCTGCCTTTTCTCGTGCAGCTCATTTTTGAGTCGGGTCTGGGATACTTTGGCACAAAAGAGGATTTCAAAGCCATGGCTCAAGTTGGCAAGTTCAACCAGGTGCTGAAGGGGGTCAAACTGCTCCGTGTTTTCCGCATCCTGAAGCTGGCTCGGCACTCCACGGGAATGAGAGCGTTTGGGTTCACGCTGAAGCAATGCTCAGAGGAAGTGTGCTGCATTTTCTTGTTCATCGGACTTGGCATTTTCACGTTCTCCGCCCTCCTGCACTCGGTCGAGAGGGAGACTGAGGACTCTCCCATCACCAGCATCCCCTACGCTTGGTGGTGGGCTGCTGTAAGTATCAAGCCTTATGCAGGGGTATTGTAGGGGCTATAGGGGTTACAGGCATAACTCTACTCTATGAATACACCAGTTACATGTGCTTTAAATGCAACACCAATCCTTCATTTGACAATGTCATGTAAAGTAATAGTAGACGATTAGAAGACAAAGGCAGCCAAGCTCACAGAAAACCACTCACGCAGCAAGTATCAATGGTCTACCTTAAACAGGAAAGAGGCAAAAAAGGTTTGAGTAAAGAAACATTTACCAATTGAAGTAGATTTTAGTCTTATTTTAAATGCAGAAGTACTAGCCAACCCCTCCTTGTGATACATTTCTTGTTGACTTAACTGTTTTTAGAGGAAAGCTTTAAAGGAGGTGTGTTTTTCACATAGATTCTGGAAAACAAGTCTCAGTCTTTGCCAATCAGTCTTGGTATATACCTCAATTGCTCCAACATTTCTTCATTCACTCATTCTCTGGAACGGCTGCTAATTTGAAAACCACAAAGAAACTATTCTCTTATTTCTAACCACCTTTATACATTTGTGGTGTTAATGTTCATAATGTTTGAAAAGCCCCGTCAGGCCAAGGTTAGTCTGCCACAGCAGTGACCCGAGTGGGATCGTCTGCTCCTCTGCAGACCTTTGGAGGACCAGAGTGGACCCAAGTGTTCCCTGGTAAAAAGAGGTCAGCTACCAGCTGTCTAAACCTGTGCCAGGTCCAACAGGTTTATGTTCTGGACTGAATCAGGATTATCCAAGTGTTAGTATTAGATAGCAATATGGCCTACGTGCAGGACTGTACAAGGACTCTACAAGGACTCCATGTTATGACTGTGATGTGACTGTCTCTTTGTGACACGTATGTCTTTCGATGTGTGACGTGACAATGACTATATAAACTGTGTACTGCCTTTACTCTGTCAGACAGAATAAAGGCAGTACACAGTTTATATAGTCATTGTCACGTCACACATCGAAAGACATACGTGTCACAAAGAGACAGTCACATCACAGTCATAACATGGAGTCCTTGTAGAGTCCTTGTACAGTCCTGCACGTAGGCCATATTGCTATCTAATACTAACACCAGGGAAAGCCTACCTCTAACTGAAGTGTATTATAATTACAGTACATATTATATATATATAAATAATATAATTCTAGAATATGAAGGCATCCTCTTGTAAAGTTGCTTTATTTAAATGGGACAGTGTGTATTAATGTGAGCATACACACATGGGAACATTAGAATATCACTTAAAACTTTCTGTATTTCACCTTTAAATGTGAAACCAATATGACATAAGCAAAAGAAAGTTTATTGGTATAGAACAAACAGTGACAAATGTTGTCATTTTGATCGCAATTATAGCATTCCTTACAGTCCACTTTCAAAATATTCTAATCTTGAGATGTTTTGTGTTTTTTACAAGCCGTGAACCAAAAAGACTCATATGTCACTGTCTACATCATAGTTTCAGTTACTTCAAAACAACAATAAATGGACTTTCGAACAATCTAATGTTCTGTGTTGCTCTTCTCACTCACTGTGTCACCTTCATGTCTAAAAGTGCCAGTGTAAAGTTAGTAGAAGTCCTTTGTTGATTCAGCCTGGTCCGTGTTGTGGCAGGATTGTTCTGATCCCTCTCTCTTTCCGGTCTCTCTCCGGTCTCTTAGGTCAGTATTTCCACTGTGGGATATGGGGACGTCTGTGGAGAGGAGTTTACAACTTAAGAAACGTCTCAGACGCAGATGCGACTTTTGCTTTTCTCCTTCTGAACAACATGGACCTGAAGGTGTCACTGACGAGACATGACATTATATCAATCTATGATGTTTAAAAATCGATTTCTTTCACTTTATTCTCTGCCCGGACCTGCCCAAAGCCTCCACAGGATAAAACAGCATTAACAATATCAAACCCAATAATAATTCAGTTTATATTTCATAATTGTACAGAAAATCAATGCCAAACCAGTACAACATTTAATAATGATAGTAATTATACATGGGTTTTATGTAGCGCTTTTCAAAAACTCAACGATATTTCACAATTTTGACACGGATTCGACCAACCAGGTATACAGTAAACCAGCGATTAGCCAGACTTTAACCAGAGCAAAATAATCAGAGCAAAATAACTATAATGGGTAAAACATTGTTGGAATTATCAGGTTAATTTTGCTGGGGGAAAGACAGGGGAGGCGAGAGCCCCGTGGTCTGGAGGCTCAGGCCGTGGCCACGAGAACGGAGAACTGAAGGACTGAGCAGCAGCGGAGCCCTGTGTATTTTTTGCATAGGTTTTTATTGCTTTTATTTGTTTGTATTAAAGGATTTAATCCTGATTTCTTTGTATCTTGCTTTTAATTCAGTGGTTCTTTTAAAACCGGGTCAAAAAACAGTTTTTCCGCTTTTGACACATGCACAGATATCGTTCACACTGAGAAACTTTGAAGGTCTCACAAAGAAGCTCAAGTTTCTTCTCGCTGGATAAACTCTGGATAAACTTGAGACTTGAATGTGCCGTGGCCACAGCTACTTGAGCGCTCCGCAAATGAAGACGCGACCAAATTAGCAATGGAAAAACGGAGGTGAACATTACTGGCAACTGCACAGAGCTTTTTAAAAGGAGAAGAGGAGAAGGAAATTTTAATCCCAAACGGAGCAATAACAACCAGCAACCCCGTGGTAGAAACTGGGCGCGTTGTAGAGGAAAGGTAGGCCATAATTAATTAACGTTAAAAGGCACCTGAAGGACTCTCAGACCATGAGTAAAAAAATTCTCTGGTCTGATGAGACAAAGATGGAACTCTTTGGCGTGAATGCCAGGTGTCATGTGTGGAGGAAACCAGGCACTACTCATCACCAAGCCAATAGAATCCCTACAGTGAAGCATGGTGGTGGTAGCATCATGCTGTGGGGAAGATTTTCAGCGACAAGAACAGGGAGACTAGTCAAGATAGAGGAAAAAATTAATGCAGCAATGTACAGAGACATCCTGGATCAAAACCTGCTCCAGAGCACTCTTGACCTCAGCCTGGGGCGAAGGTTCATCTTTCAGCAGAACAACAACCCTATAAGCACACAGCCAAGATAACAAAGAAGTGGCTTCAGGAAAACTCTGTGAATGTCCTTGAGTGGCCCGGCCAGAGCCCAGACTTGAATCCAATTGAACATCTCTGGAGAGATCTGAAAATGGCTGTGCACCAACACTCCCCATCCCGCACGCTCTTGGAGTTTATCAACAACAAGCTACCTGAATGGCTACAACTTGGCCAAACTATGCTGATGTTGGAAAGAGTACACTGGGCTGCCCCGACTACAAGAATAAACCAGCAAAGAGCGATTCTTATCCGCTTCCTGAGAGACCAAGATAAAGAACTAATTCTACGAGCTGCAAAGAAACAAGACGTAATACATGACGGAGTTAAATTAAGCTTTGTCCAAGATCTATCGGCGGATACAGTGCGACAGAGGAAGGAATTCAACGGAGTGATAAAGCAGTTCATTAGCATGGGGACTTTCCGTGGATTCTCTCACAACCCATGCAAACTGAGGATTCTGCATGAAGGACGAAATCAGCTTTTCTCCTCTCCACGAGAGGCAGAGGAATATCTGATTTTTTTGTCAACTATTCTTAAGGATAGTCTCCTTGTACATAATAAATTTACATGTCTAGTACATTGAAAGTAGTAACTCTTAATGTTAGAGGTTTAAGGAATCCAACTAAATGCAGTAGAGTCATGACATTACTGAAAAATGAAAAAGTTGATATTGCACTATTGCAAGAAACTCACTTGTCCAGTGGGGGTCATAAAAAAATAAAAACGGACTGGAAAGGGCAAATATACTACTCAAGCTTCAATGAAAAAAGAAGGGGTGTAGCCATTTTATTAAGCAAGGATACACACTTTGCTCTGAAGTCACAACAAGACGATCCAGAGGGCAGATACATCCTAATCCATGGAATCTTACTAGATAATAATGTCACTAAACTAAATGTCTACGCTCCAAATGAAGACCGACCGCAATTCATGACAGAAATCATAACATTATACACACTAAAATTGGCTTTATTGGGGGGGACTTCAACTTCTGTATGGACAGTACAATGGATAGGAGCTCCATAGGTATAAGTAATCCCAGAGCCTCCTGGGCTTTAAAAGATGCAACAGCAAAGGTAGCACTAACATTTGGAGACATTTCAACCAGAATACAAAAGACTACACGTTCTACTCTGCGAGACATAACACTTACTCTAGACTAGACTACTTCTTCTTGCCGCATAATCTCCTTCCGTTAGTAACAGCATGTACTATTGGCCCAATGTTTATCTCAGACCACTCTCCAGTGTACTTCGATATCCTTATTTCAAAGCATAAACCTCAAAACAAATATTGGAAATTTAACTCCTCACCCATTAGCTGTGCAGATGCCTGTGATGAGATCAGACACTGGATCTTACAATACACTGAAGAAAATATTAATACACCAGTGAGCCCTGCCACCATTTGGGATGCCGCAAAAGCAGTTATTAGAGGAGATTTAATTTCCTATATGTCAAAAAAGAAAAAACAAGCAAACAGAAAAACAGAATTACTAAAAATGCAACTACAAGTTGCAGAACAAAACCATAAAAGGCTCCCAGTTCAGGAAAATCTGAGGAAATTAAATGTTATTAAAAATAAACTTAATCAGGTTCAAACAGAAGAAATTAAGAAGATGCTGACCTTCTCTCGACAAAACTACTATGAAGAGGGAAACAAACCAACCAGACTATTGGCATACCAACTGAAAAAAGAGGAGGGAGAGCGCACCATAAAATGTATACGATCTGATGGCACTGTCAAACATGATTTAAAATCTATAAGCGAAGCCTTCTTGAACTTCTATACAAAACTCTACTCAACAGAAAACCCACCAGAAAAGGAGGTAAACAAATAATACTCCCTACTCTATCAACTGTGGATAAAAAAGACCTAGATTCACCATTTACATCAGATGAAGTCCTAAAAGCTATAATGTCACTACCTTCTGGAAAATCACCAGGTATAGAATCGAATTTTACAAAGCCTTCTGGCCTCAATTAATGCCGCTCTTCATGCCCATGCTTCAAGATTTTTACAAAAAAGGTACGCTTCCTCAATCTATGGATACAGCTATTTTAACCCTCATTCATAAAGGCAAGGCAAGGCAAGGCAAGGCAAGGCAAGTTTATTTGTATAGCACAATTCATACACAAGGCAATTCAAAGTGCTGAACAAAACAAGAAAGCATTAAAATCATAAATTATCACAGAACATTAAAAAGAAAGATAAAAATATAAAATCCCTCAGTTGTATGCACAGATAAACAGAACTGTCTTTAACCTGGTTTTAAACATTGTCAGAGAGGAGGCCTGTCTCACATCTTCAGGAAGACTGTTCCAGATTTTAGCAGCATGAATCTGAAAAGCAGCCTCCCCATGTTTAGTTCTGACTCTGGGCACTAACAGGAGTCCAGTCCCTGTGCTCCTCAGAGTCCGGGCTGGTTCATATGGGACTAACATGTCACTAATATATTTTGGTGCGAGGCTATGGAGAGACTTGTACACAAGCAGAGCTGTTTTAAAGTCTATTCTCTGAGCCACAGGAAGCCAATGCAGAGACCTGAGGACTGGACTAATGTGGTCGTACTTCCTGGTTCTAGTCAGGACTCGAGCTGCTGCATTTTGAATGTACTGCAGCTGTTTTACAGCCTGTTT